AAAAAAAAAAAAAAAAAATTCTATACCGCCCTACTCCCGAAGGACTCAGGGCGGTGAACAGCCACAGGATAAAACACATAAATACAAAAATTTAAAATAGAATAAAAACGAATTAAATAATTTGGCTGAACAAATTTAAAATACCCCATAATTTAAAAACAAATTAAAATTTACATTTAAAAAGGGGAGAAGATTTAGGCCAGGCCAGCTTGATGAAATAAAAAAGTCTTAAGCGCGCGACGGAAGGCGCGCAGATCCGGGATCCTCCGTATCTCCGGGGGGAGCTCATTCCAGATAGTAGGTGCCCCACAGAGAAGGCTCTCCCCCTAGAGGCTGCCAGTCGACATTGTTTAACCGACAGCACCCGGAGGAGCCCTCTCTATGAGAGCGTACTGGCCGGTGGGAGGCTATTGGTGGTAGCAGGCGGTCCCGTAGATAACCAGGTCCCAAGCCATATGAATTAAATGTTCTGTTTTCTTCTGAAACTTTTCTTTTTTTGGATTGATCCATGGTTGGCCTACCGGGGGTTGAAAAGCTCAATAAATTGCATGCTGGAGGGTGTCGCACATTGGCGGTTGTGATGCATATTTTGAGTGACAGGGAGCTGCAGCAGAGAGGTGAAAGAGCCACATGCGGCTCCAGAGCTGCAGGTTGCTGACTCCTGACCTAGAACCATGTTGGGGTTGGAAATGGGACAAGAAAAATGGAGAAGGGATGGTAGGAAGTAAGGAGGTAGATCCGGATGAGAGAGAGGGTGCAGTCCAGAGGTAACTCAGCCCATTCCTCCTGAGAGGAATGCTAGATGGGTCTCCAAGGTACCCTAAATCGAACACTTCAACAAGAGCTGTGGTGGCGCAGTGGTTAGAATGCAGTATTGCAGGCTAGTTCTGCTGACTGTCAACAGTTTGAATCTCACCCGGCTCAAGGTTGACTCAGCCTTCCATTCTTTTGAGGTTGGTAAAACGAGGACTCAGAGCGTTGGGGGCAAGAGGCTGACTCTGTAAACTGCTTAGAGTAAAGCACTGTGAAGTGGCATATAAATCTAAGTGCTAGGAAGGAAGGAAGGAAGGAAGGAAGGAAGGAAGGAAGAAAAGGAAGGAAGGAAGGGAAGGAAGGAAAGGAAGGAAGGAAGGAAGGAGAAAGAAGGAAATAAGGAAAACAAGGAGGAAGGAAGGAAGGAAGCCATGTTGATGCAGTTGTTAAAGTGCTGTATTGCAGGCTAACTCTGCCCACAGCCAGGAAGTTCGATCCTTACTGGCTCAAGGTTGATTCAGCCTTCCATCCTTCCGAGGTTGGTAAAATGAGGACCCAAGTTGTTGGGGGCAATTGGCTGACTCTGTAAACTGCTTAGAGAGGGCTGTAAAAACCCTGTGAAGCGGTATCTAAGTCTAAGTGCTATGTCCCACAGTATACTTCTATTAGCCTCCCTACCTAGTAATCTTTCAAAGCCAGAGAAGTCTTGAAATCTTGCAAAATATTGGGAATGCTGTATAGGAGAGCTGTGTCCAGCCTATGGAGTTGGTAGCCTCAGGGCCATCTGGCAACACTTTCTCCAGGCTGCAGCTCACAACAACTTTTAATAAAATGTGTGAATTGGAAAATGGCACCAGACTCCCTGTTTTATATGAGTAACCATCAATGGGACCTGGATAACGACATCCTTCTGCCTGGGTTTTGCTGCTGAGAGATTAACAAACTGATGGCATCTCTTTATCCTACAAAGAGAGATGGGATTTTTTTTAAAAAATTTGATTTATATGCCGCCCTTCTCCGGAGACTCAGGGCGGCTTACAATGCGCTAAGCAATAGCCTTCATCCTTTTGTATATTTATACAAAGTCAGCTTATTGCCCCCACAAACTGGGTCCTCAATTTACCTACCTTAGAAAGGATGGAAGGCTGAGTCAACCTTGAGCCTGGCGAGATTCGAACCTGCAGTAATTGCAGGCAGCTGGTCTTAATAACAGGGTGCTTTAGACCACTGTACTACCAAGGCTCCAAGGATTGGAGCCTGACAGCCAGGTCTGGTTTCCGTATCGTTTCCCCTGCCCTGTGGAATGTGCTTGCCTGTTCTTTCTCGACTAGAGAGAGACCTCACGTGGTTGCTCAGCTGACTCCCTGGTTGGTCTGTCCCTTTCCTTGAAAAGAGCCGCCAGAGATGATTGGCATCTGCAAATTTATACTTGGCTTATGCCGAGTTATGGAGGGAGGAGGTTAACATCCCCAGGGAGAAGCGAACATGGCAGAGAGCTTCATAATGGTAAACGTTCTGAATTTTTTTAGACGGGCAAAATGTTTTCCTTGGCACGACGTGTCTTTTTATCCCGAAGATGCGGTACAAGGTAATCCTCGACTTAACAATCGCCATCAAGTCCCAACATGTCCATTGCTATGGAAGGCAGTGGCCATCGTCCCGTTTTACAATCTTTTTTTTGCTACCGGTATTAAGTGGATCATATGGTCACTCAGTGAATTTTACTTCCCCCCCTTCGGAAGTGAGTTGGGAAGGTTACGAATGGAGGTCGCACGACTCCAGGGCAGTGCAATGGTCATAAATCCCTGACAGTGGCCAAGTGCCCGGATTTTGACCAATGGGGATGCTGCAATGGTCGTTTGAAAGCCGGTCATTAACTCGCTTTTTTCAGTGCCGTTTTGTATCTTCGGTCACTAAATGAATGGTTGTAAGTCAAGGACTTACCTGTATTTGGCTGATAAGTTTCTTGCCATGTTTTACCATTTTAGTGTCCAACAAGTATAGAATTGTGGAACAAGACCTCTACCCAAAGGGATTGAATTTTTTTTTTTAATTTGATTTATATGCCGCCCTTCTCCGGAGACTCAGGGCGGCTTACAATGTGCTCAATAATAGCCTTCATCCTTTTGTATATTTATACAAAGTCAGCTTATTGCCCCCACAACTGGGTCCTCAATTTACCTACCTTAGAAAGGATGGAACGCTGAGTCGACCTTGAGCCTGGCGAGATTCGAACCTGCAGTAATTGCAGGCAGCTGGTCTTAATAACCAGCTTAATAACAGGGTGCCTTAGACCACTGTACTACCAAGGCTCTTTCAAGAATTTCAAGAATCAGCAGAGACGGAGAGTTAAGTTTTGCGCAGATCTTGTATCATTTGCAGTCCTTAAAACTTATGCCGCTTGAAAATTCATCCTTCGATTTTAAATACTCTGGTCATTATTCTTAATGTTTAAACGGGGGAGGGGGTTTCATTCATCATTTATTTATTTATTATTCATATTTCTATGCCGCCCACTCTCCGAGGACTCTGGGCGGCTTACACCAAAGACAGTATACTAAATAGCATATTGCTCCCAATAATCTGGGTCCTCATTTTACCCACCTCGGAAGGATGGAAGGCTGAGTCAACCTTGAGCCTGGTGAGATTTGATCCGCTGATCTGCTGAACTAGCAGCCAGCTGAAGTAGCTGCAGTGCTGCACTCTAACCACTGCGCCACCTCGGCTCTTTCAATGCTTAATGGCGACTAGAAAGGTGATTGGGCTTGGGTAACACCCTAAGTCTGTGATGGCAAACCTATGGCATGCGTGCCAGAGGTGGCACACATAGCTCTCTCTGTGGGCATGTATGCCGTCGCCAGCTTCTCTTCTGGTTTCCAGCGCCAGCCAGCTGGTTTTCGGGGGTGCTGGAGCACCAGAAAGCAGCCCCAAAACATTGGGCCATTTTCAGGCCATTTTTGGCCCAAAAAGCAGCCTGAAAATGGCCCCAAAACAGCCAGAAAATGGCCTCAAATGGCCAAAAAACAGGCATGTACATGCCAGCCAGCTGGTCCTCAGGTTTCTGGTGCTCCAACAAGCACACATGCATGCATGTTCCGGTTTGGCCACTCGGTGCCGAAAAGGTTCGCCATCACTGCCCTCAGTCATAAATCATGGTTTAGAAAACATAATAGCCGAATCCATTTTGGCATAGTATAAGAGACATGCCCAGGATCACTAAAGATCTTCTCCTTTACAAAGACATCTACAGATGGAGCCTATTAATAGGAAGTCAGGATTCTTTTGAAATACTCTTCATAGTTCCCGGATTTGAACATTATTAATCTCTGGAGATCTCAACAATAAAATGTACAAAAGGAGATCCCAGGATATTTTTTGAGCAGAAGAGGTTCTGCAAGGAAGAGCGGGGAAAAGAATTCCAAAAGCAAGAATAGAAAGATTTATAAATGCAAGCACTTAACTCAAAGGATATTGGCATTTCTGCGTCTGCCATATGCACTTTAAGCAGCCACACATCAATTTTAAGTACGCATTCAACCTTGCGGAGAGGTGTACTATAATGTTTTAAGCTTGTTTCATGTAGATGTTGTTGTTATGCTTTTGCAGTTTTAAGTTAGTTATATACCGGTATCAAAATCTGCACTACTATTAATCTTCTCATCGTTCCTATCACCCATCTCCTCCCACTTATGATTGTATGACTGTAACCTTGTTGCTGGTATCCTTACAATTTATATTGACTGTTTCCTAATATGATTTGATTGCTTATTTGTACCCTATGACTATCATTCAGTGTTGACGAATGTATCTTTTCTTTTATGTACATTGAGAGCATATGCACCAAAGACAAATTCCTTGTATGTCCAATCACACTTGGCCAATAAAGAATTCAATTCAATTCCATTCCATTCCATTATTCTATTCTATTCCATTATTCTATTCTATTCTATTATTCTATTCTATTCCATTCCATTATTCTATTCTATTCTATTCCATTCCATTATTCCATTCCATTATTCCATTCCATTATTCTATTCTATTCTATTCTATTCTATTCTATTCTATTCTATTCTATTCTATTCCATTCCATTATTCTATTCTATTCTATTCTATTCTATTCTATTCTATTCTATTCTATTCTATTCTATTCTATTCCATTCCATTCCATTCCATTCCATTCCATTCCATTCGTAGATGTCTGTCTGGATTAGAAATAAGCAACAGACAAATTATATATCGTAGCCAAGTTGAAAGAACATTGGTTTTATTCAGGCAGTGGGGAGGATGGGGAAAAATATATTAACAATCAATTTATCTTACTGGAGGGAGTATAACTCTTACAAATATTTACTTGACTTAGAAAAGGGATATCATATACTGTATATATATATTTATGTATCAAATATGTAAAGCTGGCAAGTCAGGTATACCTTCTGTACAAAGGACTTCCCACTTCCCTCCATGAAAGTTTGCAGGGTGCCTTAGATCACATACTAGAGAGCTTTTTGCTAGATGATATGGAAACCAAAGAAATCTTTGGGCACAGGTAACGCTCTCAGCGTCTTTACCCAGGCGGATAGCAGTCACTTGCTTCATAGGGGTAGGCAAACTCCTTTGTGCAAAAGGGGATTGCAAGAAAAAAGAGAGAAAGGAAGAGATGCTTAGAGCCAGAAAGAAATAGACCTCAATTCACTGTGATCTGTGAAATTAAAGTGGACCCCTAACCATAATCAGCTGTCAAGAAATAATACATGGAATTTGTTTCTGTTTTTTTTTCTTCCCTAAGCTAGGGTTGATCCTTGATATATGACTGACTTGGTAATGTCATTGACTCACATATCCTTGTGATACCACCTGCCCTGTAGATTTATGGTGGATTATTTTGGGGGATGTTCTACCTTCCGCAAATTCTTTTCCATGTAGAAACAGATTTTAACACTTGCCTTCGGTCAATACCAACCACCCTTCAGAAATGCTGGGCTGCAAAACTTAGAAGGCTTAGAACAGGGGTCTCCAACCTTGGCAACTTTAAGACTTGTGGACTTCAACTCCCAGAGTTCCTCAGGTTGAGGAACTCTGGGAGTTGAAGTCCACAAGTCTTAAAAGTTGCCGAGGTTGGAGATCCCTGCTTTAGAAGGCTGTGTAATTCTGGGAGTCCCAAGATACATAGAAGAAGCCAAGTTGGCAAAAACAAGCCATCAAAACTTCTCCCTTTCACATCTGAAGTTTAGAGTTCCAGGTAGACATAAGCAACCTCTTCTATTAGCACTTTCACTGAGGAGATAATCTTAAACCTATAATCTCTCTTGCAAGTTATGGGGCTGCAGCTGTGTGCTTTTAAGTGGCCGAAGCTCTTTAAAGGTGTTTTGAGACAGCTCAAAAACAAGAACAGGGTAAGGTGGGGTGACTCCAGTCAAGGTGAACGATTATGGGACGAATTGAGTGTTCGCTTGCACAAACCCTGCAGCTTCTTTCTGGCTGAGAAGTGATCGTGTGGGACACCTACGTGGGACGAGCGATCAAACCGAGAGCTCTTCTTTCAAACGGTTTTGGAAACGTTACAGATTGGTGGAAGGTACGGCTGTAGACGGAGGGGATTTGACAGAATTAGCACCCAGTCCGAGTAGCATTTCGAGTAGCACACAATGCTATATGAGGTGCAACAGTTCTACAGACTTCAATCACACACCCACACCCCAGCACTATATAGAACTATATCATTATATATATATATATATATATTATACACATACACACCCCATGCACGCGCACGCAATTTTCATATCCGAACAAACTATAATAACCATATTATAGTTAATAATATCATTCCTTAGGAATCTTCTTTACCCACCCTTTTTAGTGGCATGCTTGAGGCACAAAACAAGAGAGCATTTGGCACAGTGTGGATGTGAAGACACATGCCCACCCCCCTGCACAAAACACACCCCAGACAAAAGTGCAACCACTGGACATCCAGCCAACAGCTGGAGGATGGCGTTAAAACCACAGAGCTCTGGAAGAAGACACAGGATTTTGCTTGCAGGACAAACTTTGCGTTTTCTACTTCCTCCTTTTCTTTAGTCAAAGGTGGACAACTGCAGCCAAGAAGTGCATGCAGTTCCCAGACCAGTTGAGGTTGATGCCAACTCCATTGAAGCTCTTGAAGGCCACAAGATCTCCATCCCTGACTCAGCTGAAGGAGGCCGCTAATACAGCTGCTATAAAGCGAGCAACACCATAAAACAATGATCACTTGCAAGATCATCGTTTTATCGACACTGAAAAACAGGCCTTCCCAAAATTAGCGCAAAAGAGCTCTTCCAAATGCTATTCCACAGGCCAGAATCTATTGCTTGGCGATGCCAACAAAAGCTCCTAGATCCAGATCCGAAATGCAATTTAAGCCCATGCTGTCCCCGGTAGCGCCAGATTCCATAACACTCCGTAGCGTGATTTTCCACCAGATGCCGTGAGCCCAAGAGCTCTGGATCCAAGGAATTTGGCCTGGCATAAACCTTTGATGGTATCTCAGCTCTGTTCAATGATAGCATCTCAGTGGACCAATGATGTGGCAAAGGGCAGAGGGTGAATTTCAGTGGAAAGATAACCTCATGAGACATCGTAAGAGAGAAAGGTTTCGGGCAAGCTTGAAAGTGGAGTTCCTACTCAGAATGGCACCTCTTCTTCAGAAATAGAGGGGTTTATATTATTGGTCAAATGTATTTCATTCTTTATCTCTGAAGACTAGAAGCTTCTTACTGGGTCCTCTGTAGATGTGCTGGACTACAATTCCAAATATTTCCAGCCAGTACTAGAAATTGTGGAAATTGTCACACAACACTAGGGAAGAGTAACAGCTGGGCAAAAGTAGCCCGAAGCTCCCGCTACATGTTTGGGAGTTGCAAGATGGAGATATGGACCGTTTTGGTAAGACCCCAGAAATGGAGCTCTTCTCCCCGGCTTTGGATAGCTCCCTAGTGCGGCTTGTCTCCGTGTGTGACTAAGACAACAACCCACAAATGGGCTGATCTCTGGAACTCCCTTTCTACAGCAAAACTCCATGCAGAATTTGGATGGAGGATCTGTGTGCTACGAATTTCAGCATCTGGTCACCTTTGAACCCGCAGGCAGAGAAAAAAAAAAAACAACTCCACTGTTTACTTGAGTATGTAAGAAGCCAACACCAACGTGAAACAACTAAATGTTCACACCAGCCATTCCCGAACAGCACCTTGCAGATGTATTGCAATCCTGGGACTGATGGCTCCAACATCTGGACTGGGACAACTCGGGGCCTCTTTGAGTATCGGTTTTGCGAGTTCCTTAATGCACTTGTCACTGTGGCTTCCACCCAAAAAACGAAGAACGTGAAAAGATCTCAAGCCTGGAGGCTGATAAAACGTTTGTGGTCATCGTAAAACTTGCAGGGCAATTGCAGTTCCTGGACAGATCTCCATTTTAATGACCTCAACTGAGAGGAGTGGGGGGATGTTCTTTGCAAATCATTTTAGATTTTGAAATGGTATCAAATTCTCAGGGAACCTTGGGGAGGCTCGGGAAGGAGTTTAATCATCAGCAGTTGGCACAAAGAGGTTGGACTTGTATTTCTTCAGTTGCTCTCCATCGTGTTCCTATTCCTTGCCCTTTGTCTGGACAGAGAAAAACTGCTAGCGCAAGGAATGGTTGGTGGGTGTTCGTGCTGTGTCTGTGTGTTGATCTCTGTGTGTGTTTGTGTGTGTGTATTTAGGGATTTCTAACAGTTGCTCTTCTTCGCTCAAGTTCACTCTGTGCGTGTTCTCTTCGGGTGAGTTGTGGACTACTACACTCGTGCTATCGCCTTAAAGTGCATTAAGACAGGGGCCTCCAACCTTGGCAACTTTTAAGACTTGTGGGCTTCAACTCCCAGAATTCCTCAGCCAGCTTAAAGCTGCCCAAGGTTAGAGACCCCTGCATTAAGACAAATCTCAATCCAGCTGGCTATACCTCTTTAAGAGACTTATGGCACCTTATATTAATTTCCCCGTCCCAAGTGCTTTTCCGATTGGCAGATTCCAGCCTCCCAAACACCCGAAGCTGGTGGCACCACATCTGGAATAACCGCTAAACTCAAAATCCTCACATCTTGTGGCCCCGCAGGGCTATGAAGGCTGCCTTTAGGGCTTATGGATTTCTCGTGGCCCGTATTTTCAGATCTACAAAAGCTCACAACGCTTTTGTAGAATCAAGGGGCCTTCAAGCTCCTTGCCGTTGACGAGTTCCTTCTTCTCCGTAGCTGACTAAAAATTTGCAAAGACGCCACGCTGCCAGGAATGCCAATCCATTTTCATCTGGGCATTTTCCCTTGACGAACAGTGGCACCTGCCTTGTGATTGCCCCCTTGTGCTTTTAGAGGCCGTCGTACTCCACTTGTGTCCTTGCCGGGATGGTATTAATGCATGCAGGGGAACATGTATTCAATTAAGCTGCATTCTTGGCCTTCAGACTGAAGCATCTGCAAAAAAAACCTCTCTTCCATAAGTAGCTGTCCTTGAGGCACTGATACAGCAGCTTCTGTGGGCCAAAGCCTCAACCCAAGTGCAGAAACCCTTTCGTGCAAAGCTATCGCCATCTCTAACTCGTGTCCCTGCTTCTATTCATTGGCTTCGTGCAGTCAGGAGAGCTTGCAAAATACTCAATAGGCAAGAGAGGTCTACAAGGGCAGGAAATGAGTACGAACAGGGCAATCATTGCTCCTCTTGCAGATGGCAGACCTTTGATACAAAAGCATGTGCTTTTTTCTTGCTGCCGTGAAAAGGGAAAAAGATTATTTCTGGGACAAAAAAAAATAAGGCAAGATGCTTGCTGGAAGATAACAGACGGACAGCAGGGAGAAAACCCGAGAATGGTGCTCCAGATGATAAGAACGTCATCAATCGGTCTTTCCTAACTTGGCAATCAGCTCATCACAGATCTTGGTCAACTCTTCAATTTCCTGGTTCTGGAAAATAAAATGAATGGATAAATAAAGCCCAGAAGTGAAATGCTGATTACCCACAATTTTCTCTGATAATACTGTGTTTCCCTGAAAATAAGATCCTATCTTATATTTTTTTGAACCCCGAAATAAGCTCTTGGCCTTATTTTCGAGGAGGTCTTATTATTTTGGGGTGCATGGAGCAAGATGGGGCTCCTCTTTTTTTTTAATTTGATTTATATGCCGCCCTTCTCCGGAGACTCAGGGCGGCTTACAATGCGTTAAGCAATAGCCTTCATCCTTTTGTATATTTATACAAAGTCAGCTTATTGCCCCCACAACTGGGTCCTCAATTTACCTACCTTAGAAAGGATGGAAGGCTGAGTCAACCTTGAGCCTGGGGAGATTCGAACCTGCAGTAATTGCAGGCAGCTGGTCTTAATAACAGGGTGCTTTAGACCACTGTACTACCAAGGCTCTTGCCATCTTACCTGATTTCCAGCTCTGTCTCCCTAACCCTAACCCTAACCAGAGGAAGTGGAGGGAATATTTAACTGCTGTGCATGCAGTTAAATATTTTTGGAGAGGGCGTATTTTTGGAGGGGAGCTTATTTTAGCACATGCGCTCAAAAGCCCGATTGGGCTTATTATCCGGGGAGGTCTTATTTTCAGGGAAACAGGATAGCAATAACACTTATAGACTTATATACCGCTTCACAGTGCTTTTACAACCCTCTCTAAGTGGTATATAGAGTCAGCCTCTTGCCCCCAACAATCTGGGTCCTCATTTTACCCACCTCGGAAGGATGGAAGGCTGAGTCAACCTTGAGCCTGGTGAGATTTGATCTGCCAAACGGCTGGCAGCCGGTGATCAGGAGAAGTAGCCTGCGGTACTGCAGTCTAACCACTGCCCCACCGCGGCTCTTTGATGCTGCAAAATTAGTAACCTCCCCATAACGCACGGACCTCCCCAACCCATTCTCCTGATGTTAAGTGTTCTCCTTCGTGTACAAAATGCAACCAGATTATACACGTCCGAAGGTTAGCGCTATTATACATGGTGGGAGTGTTCTCAAAGCTCAGAACTGGTTCTTCAACCTGCCATCACCTTTGAATGAGACAGAAAGAAGAACCTTGTAAGATAAAGCCTGGCAAGGTGGCTCAGTGGCTAAGACGCTGAGCTTGTCAATCAGAAAGGTCGGCGGTTCGAATGCCTAGTACAGGTCTCTTGCCTGAGCAAGGGGTTGGACTAGATGACCTCCAAGATACCTTCCAACTCTGTTACTGTTATAAAAATCTATGACGGTCCAGTCCCTGCCCCCCCCCCTTTGAGAATTGGGTGGTGGAGTGGTGAGAAGGGTTAGTCTAATTTGCAAAAAAAATAAATAAAAATAAATGGAGTCTTCAGTATGAATTGACATAGCTGCCAGGATGAGAACAATCTCCTGTTTTTGAATTTAAATTTCATTTCTGTTTGATATAAATATTTTCTTTAAAGCCTTCCTTTAGGCAGACGGTTGTGTGACTTGTGCAGCTCAGTTCCAGGAATATGACTTTTTCAAACGCCTCTTTTTGCTGCCGTTAGTAAAACTGTGCACTGATGTAGGTTGGTTGCAGTTGAAAGACGGCTTGTCGTTGCTCTGTATTTACCGTATTTTTTGGAGTATAAGTCGCACTTTTTTCCCTCCTAAAAGAGGCTGAAAATTTGGGTGTGTCTTATACTCTGAATGTAACCCTGCGTGGTGCCCAAAATGGCTACTCGGAACAGCTTCTGCCTTCTCTTACCCCTTCCGTGCTTTCTCTGCTTTAGTCACTGAAGCGCCCTCCAAGGATCAGCTGTGCTTTTGAAGCTGTTTTTCAGCCCAAAGCGAGTGCAGTGATCTTCCGTGCTTTGCCTGCTTTTCTAATTGCTGCTCCCTCTGACAATCAGCTGTGCTTTAGAAGCACTGCCCTAACCTCAAAACCAGCGAGCGAACTAATGTACTGCGACTAGCCAGATGAATACCTGGTAGGCAGAATTCCCGCCCCCCTATTTTCCTCCCCAAAAACTAAGGTGCATCTTATACTCCGAATAATACGGTATTCATGTGATACATTAAAACAGGAAGTGTAGATGAAAAATACAGCAACCCAGCAGTGATTTAGAAACTAAAGCAGCTCCCATCTAAAGTTTCAAATGAATGCAACTGCATTCCTCAGTAAGTGAGTTATAGGGCAAGTTTCTTAATCTTTAAGTAAATAATGATAACCTATGCCTCCTTAGGTCATTGTTTCAGAGATATTTCCTTAGTTAAATAGAGAAATTGACTGATCGAGGGTAGCCAAAAATCAGTGTTTCTGATTCTGAATCTGATTCAGATTTAGTGAAAGCAGGAACAACCTTCGACTTCCTGCTGGCTTCCCCATTGAGTTTCTTCATGGGAATCTGCCGGGAAGCAATGGAAATCTCCCTCTTTTGAGCGTCAATTTGTTTAACGGACACAACAATGCACATGCACATACACAAAAGCTAACAACAAGGAAAAATGTAAGTGATTCAACTCTTTTAGGTGTGTGTGAGGTGGTCCTGTCCCATCAAGGCTAAATGTTCTGAACTACAATAGTTATCGGAACAGAAGTTGCCTTCGGAAGTTGTGGGAGCTTCATCATTGGAGGCTTTCAAGAAGAGATTGGATTGAAGATTTGTCAGAAATGGTGTAGGGTCTCCTGTTTGGGGAGGGGGTTGGACTAGATGACCTACAAGGTCCCTTCCAACTCTGTTAATCTGTTTTCACTCAATTCCAGGAGAAACGTAGACTGAATTTCAGACAATCTTCTCCAGCGGGAAAAGCAAGTGAAAGGGATAAAAAGGGATTGTTGTGGTCCACTAGCAGCCTGCGGAGCTGGCAGCAGAGTCAGACAGTGAGGAGGCTCGGGAGGACCATGAGCCAGTCCTAGAGTCAGGGGAAGGCCCAGACGAGGGCTCTACATTGGAGGCAGAGATGGGGCCAGGGCCATCTGGGAGCGATGCACGGACTCCAGAGCCTCCAGAGGTGGATAGCAAAGAGGCAGAGGAACAGGAGGAGCCTGTTCCTAGTGCACACATGCGCAGAGCTGCCAGAAGGCAAGAGCAGCTAAAGCAAAAAGGACGACTCGGGAGTAAGGCCAGGAGATGATTGGCCCCTCCCATAAAGCTTAAAAGAGCAGCAAAGGCTCTTGGGCTCTTTGTAGGAAAGCAACATTGCTACATTTATTTCTTGTCAGCATCTCTTGTTTCTGAACTTCGTGGGGCTTTGCCAAGAAAAGCTTTTGGCAGGGTGCCAAAGAAGACAAAGGTTTGTGATAAGGCCAAAGGACTTTTTCTGAAGGACTTGTTTTGGAATTAATTTGGACTAAGCTGAGAATGAAATAATTCTCAGCTGTTCTAATAAAATATGTTTAAGACTGATTGTGTCTGGTAATAACTACTTGGGCCTAGGTCAAAACAGGGATGGGGAAGAATTACCTTCTGCTGGAGGGTCCTTTCAAGAGATTCGACTTTCATTTGTTCTTTTCGAAGTCCAGCATGGAGAGCTGCACTCTCAGCTTTGGCCTTAGTACGGACCTGAGCAATTTCTTCATTGGCTCTGGAACAAAGGGAAGGGGCATGAGAGACAGAGAGAGAGAGACACACACAGAGAGAAAGAATGAGTATAAAAATAAATTCCATAATTTAGCGGACAGAAAAGCTCTACAGAGAATCATTAAAACTGCCCAGAATATTATCGGGCACCAGCTACCAGCCCTGGATGACATCTTCGAATCTCGCTGTTTGGGAAAGTTGCATAACATTCTCAGAGACTCTTCCCATCCTGCTTACAATCTTTTTGGACTGTTGCCTTCCGCCAGAAGATACAAAACAATTAAAACTCGGGCCACACATCATCTGAATCGTTTTTATCCCAGAGTTATAATTGCACTCAACAATGAACTAAAGGGCCACCATCCGTGAGCTGTTGGACAGCATTACTTGGTCTGTTGTGTGGATGTTTGGGTGGTTTAGGGCTGGGGAATTTGTGGTGGGTGGGAGTGTGTTTGGGGATTGTTATGTGTGTTGGACTTGGTCTTTGGGTGTTAAATGAATTGAGTTGTATGGGTATAGTGTGTATACACATACAATGACAATAAAGTTGTTGTTGTTGTTATTATTATTATTATTGTTGTTGTTGTTGAATGCAGTGGTACCTTAGTACTCAACTGCTTTGAAATTCCTTGAATTTGGTACTCAACATATTTTGACGTGAACATTTTTGTCTTGGTACTCATTGTTTGTTTGGTACTCAATGCACAAGCTAGAATTTGTGTCGGCTGCTTGTGACTCAGTGCATTATTCCTTATGGGAAAAGTTTGTTTGATACTCATTGTTTTTGGTACTCATCGTGCCTCCTGAAATCAATTAACGATAAGTACCAAGGTGCCACGGTACAGGAAATCCTCAACTTACGACCATTTGTTTGGAAATGTTTGAAGTTACACAACGGTGTTGAAAAAAGTGACTTAAAACTGGTTCTCGTGCTTACAATTGTTGCAGTGTTTCCATGGTCAAGTGACTAAAATTTGGGCACTTGGCAACCAGTATGGACTTACAACAACTGCAGCATCCTGAGAATTACCTGATCACCCTTTATGACCTTACCAGTTGGCTTCCAACAAGCAAAGTCAATGGGGGAAGTCAAATTCATTTACTGACCACAGTAAAAAAGGTTGTAAAATTGGGTGCGACTCACTTAAGGACAGCAACAGAAGTTCTGATTCCAATTATGGTCTTAAGTCAAGGATTACTTGTATCCCATCCCCAGTTCACATGTAACATCAAGCCACTGGCCTTCTTTGGGTCATGGGAGAGGAATTAAGGGGAAAGCATGCAAACCTGAAATTACTAATAAAGGAGAATAGAGTCGGAGTCAAAAAGAGGGCTGTGAAAATATCTACAGACCCCTCGCATATTGGACATAAACTGTTTCAACTCCTACCCTCAAAACGACGTTATAGAGCACTGCACACCAGAACAACTAGACACAAGGACAGTTTTTTCCTGAACGCCATCACTCTGCTAAACAACTAATTCCCTCAACACTGTCAAACTATTTACTAAGTCTGCACTACTATTAATCTTCTCATCATTCCTATCACCCATCTCCTCCCACTTATGACTGTATGACTATAACCTTGTTGCTGGTATCCTTACAATTTATATTGATATTGTTTCCCTAGGACTATCATTAAGTGTTGTACCTTATGATTCTTGACTAATGTATCTTATCTTTTTATGTATGTTTTATGGAGCGTATGTACCAAAGACAAATTCCTTGTGTGTCCAATCACACTTGGCTAATAAAAAATTCTATTCTATTCTATTCTATTCTATTCTATTCTATTCTATTCTATCATTCCATTCCATTCCATTCCATTCCATTCCATTCCATTCCATTCCATTCCATCCATACCTATCCTATCCTATCCTATCCTATCCTATCCTATCCTATCCTATCCTATCCTATCTAGTTCAGGGTTGACATGAGGGCTCCTTGGTGCTCTCTGAACTTGCTCATTTTCTTGCAAACGTTTCCTTACCCAGCTAGGTAACGTCATCCGTGCTATGCCACAGCTCCTTTTCTTTTGTATGAGGCATTCAATTACAGGGAAAGTGCCTTTATTGGCCTTACTTGTCTAATTTCTCCTCCGCATGGATTTTCAAGGCCTGATAGCGCTGCTCCTCTTGCTTGACTCGGTTGAGATAATCCTGAGCACACTTCTTCAAGGCCTCTTCATTCTGGAAGAAAAAACAAAAGAAAAGCTCAACTTGGCTATGAAACGTGCAGTGGTGGTATTCAGCAGGTTCGGGCGAATTGGTAGCGGTGACCACGGTTAGGCCCGCTCACCCTTTCTGGCTCTATGCCATCCTATTTAGCTACATTTTCGAGGCTGGGTACATGCGCGGAAGGTGTGCACACGAGCAAAATGCATTCGCGGAAGGCCGGGCACCGGTGTGGAAGGCGCGTGCGCGCACGAAGCATGTGCTTGCGTGGCGAACCGGTGGTAAAAATATGTGAAACCCACCTTTGGAAGCGTGGCTTAGAAACCACAGTGTTTAGGTTCACCCACTACAAAAAGCCATCAAATCACATTCTGGAGTTGGGACAGAATTGCCCCTTGCAAGTTCTACTTCAAGACCTTCAACCTTCAATTCAGGAAACAGAAAATCCAGTGGTGGGTTTCATCAGGCTCTGACCAGTTCTGGAGAATCGGCAGCGGAAATTTTTGAGTAATTCGGAGAACCGGTAGTAAAAATTCTGACTGGCCCCAGACCCACCTATTCTCTGCCTCCTGAGTCCCAGCTGATCAGGAGGAAATGGAGATTTTGCAGTATCGTTCTCCTGGAGTGGGGAGGGAATGGGATTTTACAATATCCTTCCCTTGGAGTGGGGAGGGAATGGAGATTTTACAGTATCCTTCCCATGGAGTGGGGAGGGAATGGAGATTTTACAGTATCCTTTCCTTGGAGTAGGGTGGGAATGGAGATTTTACAGTATCCTTCCCCTGCCACGCCCACCATGCCACGCCCACCGGTTTGCTCTCATATCAAGATTTCCACTACCGGCTCTCCCGAACCGGGGAGAACCGGTAGGAACCCACAACTGGCCTGCATGTGCTGGGAAGGTGATCTTCCGGTTTCTGGAGCGTGCATGTGCACTGGCCACCCGGGCTTCCAGTTTTTGGCACGCATGCTCGTGCGAAGACCAGCTGGCCAGTGCACATGCGTGCGCTGGAAACCGGAAAATCATCTTCCTGGTGCGCGCATGTGCACCGGGGCGGCTGCTCTTCTGGTTTCCGGCATGTGTGTGCGCACGAGCACTCCCGTTTCGGCACTCGGTGCTGAAAAGGTTCGCCAACACTGTCCTAATAGATAGAAGTTCTGTGGTAGAGTTGTCTCTCATTGCCCATCACCTGGTTGATCCAGCAGAAGAAGCAACGATGGAAAGCTAACTTTTTAGCACTGAGCTACAATTCCTCTCCATCAGCTTGATAACTTTAGACAGCAGTGTTCGTAAGGACAGTCTCCAGACCAGGATAAAACAGGAAGGGGATTGGTACAAAACCCATATTTAACCTCCTGCAATTAAAACTTAGTTCAAATTCAATTAAATTCATCAAGAACGCCTAATGCGACTACTCCCCATATTTTTGTCATTTCAAAAACAATATTTTGGACTGGGGGTTTAGAAGAATATGTACAGCCAACACACTGGGAGCCTTTTAAATTGTGCATCCCTGGTCTTCCGTGAAGGAAAACCCGTAAGAAAAAAAAGAGACTTTTTTTCAAATAAAGAAAGGACCTTTTTGAAACCTTCCAGGACTCCTTTGAGGTTCTCATATCTCCTGAACAGATCGGACAGGGATCTCTCCACCGAATTCAGGTCAGACAAGGCTTGCTCCTTCTCCATCGTCAGCTGCTGGAGACTCTTCTGGGACGTCATGTTGCTTCTCTGCTCGTCCTCTGTGAATTCAAAGGCAAAGGGGAATGGTAACTCTGCTTCAACAGGCCTTTAGCCAAGAGACACCAAGCAGAGCAGAAGACGGCAATCTTGGTCATCTGCAGGAGGCGTTTTCCTTTATGGGTTGCAGGGAACATGCTGCCATTAGAAGGGGTAGAATCAATGTTTTTATTTCTATTTCCCTATTGAGAGCTTTTGGGTTTTTTAAGAGGCAAAATATCGGTTTAAAGCTAGCCTTCCAAAACGGAGGTATTCTCCAAGTGTGTAGACTTCGACTTCCCGTTTGTAGATCTACAGTATATGGCCATTGCTGAGAATTCTGGAAGGGGAAATCCATCACATCTGGTGGCTGTGCTGGAAAAGAGAAGGGTTTTACCTTCTCCCTTTTAACAACCCTGTAATCCCTTAATTTGAGGTAGAGTCAGGGGTGGATGGATGGAGCGGAGTGTTTACTAGCTGGACACCCTTCCTGACGCCATGCCGAGTTTGCAGTAGATATTTTTTTTTTCTTTGTGCCCTAAGAGAGAAATATCTGCCACTACCTAGAATTGAACTCTGGATCTTCCAGGTAGGAGTGGAGCATTTCCGCCATTAGGCCACCACGCTGCTCCACCCATCAAACCACTCTCAAAACAGAATATATATATATATACAGCCAAGCTCCCACCCAATCAGTTCACACCCCCACTGGCAGTTAAAAGGAAGAAACAGCTGCGATCACACACATTGCTCCTAGAAGCATGAAGCCAAAGACACCAGCCTGAAGATGACGAATGAGACTTCGTCAAAACGTTGCCAAGACACCTCCAATTTTACGCGGGAGAAAACCCGAATAACCAAAGACCTACATATATATATAATTAAGTCCTGGTTTTGTCCATTAACTAACACACACACATACACACACACAGGAGAAAAAGATGCAAAATATTCAGCCCCATCTGGTGCAATGGTGATGCTGGAGGTACAGGTTGCCCAGCCGCAAGCTAGGAATTTCTTCCACTTTAATTCCACAATCTGAGAGGAACATATAAAGAGCAGTGGATGAAGATAAGTTTTTTTTTAAAAAAAAAATAGTTATTTTTATATACCGCCCTTCTCCGGAGACTCAGGGCGGCTTACAATGCATTAAGCAATTTTTAATGGAGTTCCTCAAAAACATCTGTCCAAACGACGGGATCTCTTTGGACTCTACGTTTAGTACTTCACCTGTATTACTAGTAACAGACCGACAGAGCACAGGATATGTTTTCTGTTGCAAATATGAGCAATCCAAGAACATAGCACCTGAAATATGCGGTTTGAGTCATGCACTCAAAATCATAGGCAAGGTTCTTAAATGATACTTAAGGGGAAAAAAAACCCTCTATCTTTGATTGGAGCAGATTGTTTTTCTCCACCCCATCATTTGCTGGCTGGGGAATTGTGGGAGTTGAAGTCCGTGCATCTTAAAAAGAAGAGGGAGTCAAGCTATTCTCCAAAGCACCAGAAGGCAGGATAAGAAGCAATGGGTGGAAATGAATCAAAGAGTGAAGCAATCTAGAACAAAGAAGAAATTTCTTGACAGTTAGAACAACTAATCAGTGGAACAACTTGCCTCCAGAAGTTGTGAATGCTCCAACACTGGAAGTTTTTAAGAAGAGATTGGATAACCATTTGTCTGAAATGGTATAGGGTTTCCTGCCTAAGCAGGGGGTTGGACTAGAAGACCTCCAAGGTCCCTTCCAACTCTTCTATTCTATTCTATTCTATTCTATCCTATCCTATCCTATCCTATCCTATCCTATCCTATCCTATCCTATCCTATCCTATCCTGTTCCTGTTCCTGTTCCTGTTCCTGTTCCTGTTCCTGTTCCTGTTCCTGTTCCTGTTCTTGTTCTTGTTCTTGTTCTTGTTCTTGTTCTTATTCTTATTCTTATTATTTGTTACTCTTGGCTCTGTCTTCTATTTATAGTCCACCTATAGAATCTACAGCCAAGGAATCACAAATATAAATAGTTCCTGAACTCTCTCTTTCTGCACATTATGGAAACTAGAGAAGACACTCTACAAGCACAAGAAGAAACTCTAAAAACTACTATTGGGCTGAACGTTTGCAGGCTGGCATGAACTGGAACATGTTGGCCTCTTTATTTGTTCTTTCCAGTAATTTGCAAGTGAATACCTGGCATTGATCAGTGGCTTACCTATCATCTGTGCAATTGTCTTCTCATATTCAGCCACAATCTTCCTAAGGAGGAAACAGAAGGAAAGATATCAGTCACAGAAATGCCATTAATTTTCTCCTCCTATAAACCCAAATGCATTTGATATTCTATCCTTTCTAACCATTTTTTCCAATACATTCCCACTTAGGCAAGCTATTTCACCCTGGTATTAAATCACTGGACATGGCAGTTCAGAATACTAGAAAGTTTTGACCAGGCTGTCAGCTTTTGTAGCCTGAAGTACTGCACTCTAACCACTGTGGCACTGCAGCTCTTAATATGGTGAATAGTCTCTATTAACTCAGTTAATAAATCTGTCTTCCAATCTACATGAGGTTTCCATAGTGATCTGTGGCTGCACACTTGTAAACAATCTGAAACTATATGGAATTATGGTTGTTTCTGTAAAACAAGCTGAGTTGTTTTACCTCATTTCCAAAACTTCCTGTCGACTTCCTTCATATTTTCTCTTCCACTCGTTGGCTTCAATTTCCTTAGATATAATCTAAAAAAAAAAATATGAATACAAAATGCAACTATTAGTTTTGAGAAGGCAGCCCTCTCACCGCTGAAAGAAATGGTGGTGAAACTATTGGGAGGAGAGGTGGAGGAAGGAGGAGATATCACACTATGCTGCAGTGATGCTGTGTTATTTCAGTTCTGTCACCTGCAAATACACCTGTGGATTCTGCCTGGTGTTTAGTTGGACGTTCTTAAGAGATGCATTCTTTGCAAAAAAATAAAATAAAATGCCAGGCTACCATTTTTTAAAAATCTTTCCAGAATATCTAGATACGATGTAAGTTATGGGCAGACACACCTGTTTAGGGAAGGTCTGCCAGATGATAAGATGTCTCCTCTGGTTACCAGAGGACCAGTGGTGAAATCCAAATTTTTTTATTACCGGTTCTGTGGGTGTGGCTTGGTGGGCATGGTGTGGTTTGGTCGGCGTGGCAGGGGAAGGATACTGCAAAATCCCCATTCCCTCCCTACTCCTGGGGGAAGGATACTGCAAAATCTACATTCCCTCCCTACTCCTGGGGGAAGGATATTGCAAAATCTACATTCCCACCCCACTCCAGGGGAAGGATACTGCAAAATCCCCATTCCCTCCCTCCTATTGTTAATAATTTAACAATATTTAATGAGCTGATTGAAATCGATTAGGTGAAACCCATTTCCATTTTTGTCCCAACCTGCCAATTAAAGGCCACTTGTGATTCTTTGGCCAGTGAAGCAGAGCAAGGATGCTATGCATTCATAGATGCACCCAGAATGCGTGAGACAACCTTCAAAAAAGCCATGTTAGTCTCTGAAAAATACAGGAGTTTTTCCTTTCTAAAAAGGGAGCACTTTGCTTGTCCCAATGCCTGCTGACCAAGCGCCTCTTAAAACCTTCGCACAATCTAGAGAAGAGCTCCCAAATTTCAAACATCAAATCATCCGGCTGTTACCTCTTCTCTGATCAGAGTCAGAACTGCTGTCTTATCAGATTCACTGAGGCAAATGGCATCCAGGGGACTTTCAGCCCCTCCTTTCGTGTTGCCTGGTGCACTTCCAGGAGCCTTTTCCATAGAACATAGTTCAAGATTACTCTGCGGAAAGAAAGACAGAGTCAGAATACAATCAGCCCTTTCTAACTTCCACCTGGCTTCTCCTGCCAGACCACCAGTTAAACCAGGGGTGCCTGTTTTTCCCCTCGCCTGAGGTATGCAACGGGGGAGAATGGACTTTTCTTTCATGCAAGATATTTGATTTTTACCTGTCTTCTCTTTTGGTAACTGGTAACTGCTATCATGTTGTTTTTTGACTGTATGTGAATTAACCTCACAGGTCCTACCTGAATTAGTGATGCCCAAACCGGGAACCCAAAATAAAAACCTCAGCAGTTTTGAATATTGTGTTGGGTTGGTCCAAATTTGCCACTAGGGCAAATCTAACACTCAGTATTGATCTATCTATTGGGGGTATTTTTTTGCAGGTGTGAAAGGATATGAATGTTATTTGGAATTATACCTGGATAGACATATATGTATATATGTATAAATTAAAAGACGCTTGCTCCTGGGGAGGAAAACTATGGCAAAGTTAGACAGCAAACTAAAAAGCAGAGACATCATCCTGCCAACAAAAGTGCATATGGTCACGTTTTCCCAGTTGCAATGTATGGCTGTAAAAGTTGGACGATAAGGAAGGCTGAGCGCCAAAGAATTGAGGCCTTTGAACTCTGGTGCTGGAGAAGACTCCTGCGAGTCCCTTGGACTGCAAGGCGATCCAACTGATCAGTCCTAGAGGAGATCAACCCTGACTGCTCTTGAGAAGGCCAGATCCTGAAGATGAAACTCAAATACTTTGGCCACCTAATGAGAAGGAAGGACTCCCTGGAAGGAAGAGCCTAATGCTGGGAACGATTGAGGGCAAAAGAAGAAGGGGACGGCAGAGAACAAAGTGGCTGGATGGAGTCACTGAAGCAGTCGGCATGAGCTTCAATGGACTCCGGGGTATGGTAGAGGACAGGAAGGCCTGGAGGAACATTGTCCATGGGGTCGCGATGGGTCGGACACGACTTCATAACTAACAACAGATATATATGTAACATAGTTATCCCAGAGCAGTAACTATATTGAATTCTACTGTATAGTGCAATATTAATGCAGTATCAGGGGTTTTCAATTCAATTGTATAGAATGTGACGGAAGTGTGTTTTTTTGTCTTATTTTTATAGTTTTCTTATGTATGATGTACACTGAATTTAATTTCGTTGTACGAGATGCAATGGCAATAAAGTAAACGAATTAGTTAATTCCAAATTTAGAATTCTGGATCTGAACAAATTCAGGATCTGAATCTTCGTGCAGGATAAACATCAGGAAGGGCAGCCAAGACTGGGACTTGAAAGGATTGTTGCTCTTTTGTGAAATGAATGGAACATATCGCTTTACAGGACCATATTATGTCAAAAATAAAATTCTGTTTTTTTTTTCCAAATGATTCTCAAATAGCACGTAAAATAAACACTGTTCACCTCACTGTCCATTTATACATAATACAAAATAAAAGCCTACCGTCCTTGTCCTAATGTTTCTTCTATTTGTACCTATTTTATGTATCCAATCCATGCTTATACTTATTACCAAATACGTTCTTGACAAATAAAATAAATAAATAAAAATAAATAAATAAATAACAAGAGTTGGAAGGGACCTTGGAGGTCTTCTAGTCCAACCCCCTGCTTAGGCAGGAAACCCTACACCACTTCAGACAAATGGTTATCCAACATCTTCTTAAAAACTTCCAGTGTTGGAGCATTCACAACTTCTGGAGCAAGTTGTTCCACTGATGATTTGTTCTAACAGTCAGGAAATTTCTCCTTAGTTCTAAATTGCTTCTCTTCTGGATTAGTTTCCACCCATTGCTTCTTGTCCTGCCCTCAGGTGCTTTGGAGAATAGCTTGACTCCCTCTTCTTTGGGGCAGCCCCTGAGATATTGGAAGACTGCTATCATGTCTCCCCTAGTCCTTCTTTTCATTAGACTAGACATACCCAGTTCCAGCAAGTTCTTCATATGTTTTAGCCTCCAGTCCCCTAATCATCTTTGTTGCTCTTCTCTGCACTCTTTCTAGAGTCTCAACATCTTTTTTTGTATTTGTATTTAGCATTTATCTTAAGAACAAACCTGCAATGTTTTGTTGGATATTTTGGAGAAATGGGCTGGGACAAAAGAAGCAATATTGGGATCAGAGTAATAACGACGCTGCTATTCTGAGATCAATTTTGCTCCATGCTGCTTTCCAGAGGTAGGAATCAGCTAATAAACTATTCTATTCTATTCTAGCTGCAGCGCAGCTCAGCTGTCAGCAGAGGTCTCTGTAAAGGTAGTACATTTTCTCTTTATTTTAGTTCATATCTCGAGCCTTGTTAGTATTTTGCAAATGAAAGCACTTTTGATTTTTAAACATTTTAGGAATATTGGATGTAATTAATACCCCTCTGAAAAGAGTTCCAACTTTCTGCTCTCATTTATTTTATTTTTTTGCAAAATACTGCATTGGTATCATTTTACTATGATATTATAATTTTATTATATAGGGAACTCTTCAGTTTTCCAGAACTCGACTGTTCTCAACCGACTTGGCACGCAGCAGATCAGAGTCTGTTGTGATCTACATCATTTTCATAAGGACGAACATTATATAGCTAATATAACTACGTCATTTACACTAGCGGTAAAATCCAGTTCTGTAAGTCTGCTACTGAGTGTGCACCTGCGCAGTGCTAAAAATGAACATTTTGAAGCCTTCCAAGTCTGCAAAGGTAAGTAGAACAGTGAGGGGGGAGGGAATCCGCTGTGCCACGTGATTTAGATTAGCTAGAAAGCAGAAAATCCGACGATTCTAGCTAATCTAAATCACGTGTCACAGCCATTCATTGCCCAGCTGATCATCGAAAATACCGGTTCGCCGGAACTGGTAGCAATTTTACTACCGGTTCAGGAGAACCAGTCCGAACCGGTAGCATTTCACCCCTGATTTACACCATTACCACAACATATTTGATTTAAGGTGAAGGCAATGATTTCAACTACAATATATTCTTCTGTTCCATGCAAAGATAGTAAGTTAGTAGTAAAGTAGTAGTAAAAATAGATCTTCGGCATGGAATTTTAGCAGAAAGAGTAGTCCACGATTTTGGACACAGAGGGGTAAGAACAATACTTGCGCTTACTGAGATATCACTGGAGTTATTCTTCTCTTCCAGCCTGCACAGAGATTCTTTCTCGGAGCCTACAATCAAAGGACATGAGGTGATTATACATTATGACAACAAGGTTCTTCCTGGTGAAATAACTGGATTAAGAAAGAGGCATGCAACGCGCAACTCTATGACAGTACTTGAAAGAGAGGAATATGAAACTCAAGGAGGATTTTTACTGAATGAAGACCAGGATGCCCTAAAGTGACAATCGGTATAGTTTTGGGCAGATATCTTCTTAAACCATGAGATGCAGGTGGGAGACAGTAGAAAAATCACTGTATTTCAGACATCAATCCATTAGAGAGGGTCCAGGGATATTTTACTAGAGAGTACTCAAATCCTCTGCTCGAAATAAAATTTCCTATACCACCAGGCTTGTAATTTTAGGCCTGGATAGCCTCGAACTACGCCGTCTACGTTCCGACCTATGCTTAGTTCATAAGATTATTTACCAAAAATTCCTACCTGTAAATGAATACTTTAATTTCAACCATAATAACACAAGAGCTATCAATAGATTCAAACTCAATGTAATTCGCTCTAATCTTGATTGTAGGAAATATAACTTCTGCAATAGAGTAGTAAATGTCTGGAACACTCTACCTGATCCTGTTGTTAGTCTCTCTAACCCCCACACCTTTTATTTTAAACTGTCTACCGTGGACCTTTCATGTTTCTTAAGAGGTCCCTAAGTGGGTGTGCATAAGCACACTAGCGTGCCTACTGTCCCTGTCCTACTGTCCCCATTAATATGTAATCATTCTATGTGTTTATGGCTATGTTTTGCCTATTTATTTCCTTTTATTTGTGCCATTTTTTTTCATGCGTCCATGTCTATGTCTATACTGTTACTTGTCTCCTTGTACTTGTTGACAAATAAATAATTAAACAAACAAACAAACAAACAATAAAATTGTTAGGATATGGTTTGAGCCTAACAGGTTGTCCAGGCAATATATGTGTTCTGTGACTTTAACATGAATATGTATTGTGTGACTTTAAAGTTTTACTGCTGATTTATTGTAATGCTGAGTCATGCTGTAATTAGATAATCACTGGTTGTAAACATATTTAAGAAAGGTACCGTAACGTATTCAGTTGATGATATGCTACCATTGTGTGTGGAGTTGCTACCATTGTGCTATCATCGGTTGGATGGATCTGCTACCATCGTGGTTTGTTACCAGAGTGAACTTGTTATTCTAACCAACTACTGTTTGTATGGTAAGAAGATTTTTGTATCACTGGACTGATTTAACTGGCAAAGACTTAGATTGTTTAAAGACTATGAGATTGTTTTTTTCACTATAAAGTAAACTTTTGATAAACCAGTTTGCACATCTCTTATTCATTGCTCTCAGCAACGTTTTTCTGTGTTCTACACTCTGCTGGTTGGTAACACAACAATATCATTAACAAAAATGATCCAAATTCTGAGACCTAAGAGACATCCCCGCTACAGAGGTATACCCAGAAAACCTATCTAGACCAGGGGTGTCAAACTCAAGGCCCAGGGCTGGATCCGGCCTGAAGGGTGTTTCGATCTGGCCTGTGGGGCCACCCTGGAAACAGAGAAAGACTGGTACACAGTGCCCCTGCCAGCAAAAACAGAGCTCCATTTTCACTGGCAGAGGGTTGCAGGAGGCCGTCGCAGCCGAAAACGGAGCTTGGGGGCCCGTTTTCACTGGCAGAGCGCTTGGGCCTCCACAAGCGCCCCCGACATGAGTGACGTCGAGCTGGCCACGCCCACCCTGGTCATGCTCACTCTGCCCCACCCCCCGAGGTTAAACACAACCCTCAATGAAATCGAGTTTGACATCCCTGATCTAGACAGATCATTATCATTATGAGCCAAGGTGGCGCAGTGGTTAGAGTGCAGTACTGCAGCTACTTCAGCTGACTGCTAGTTCAGCAGATCAGCGGATCAAATCTCACCGGCTCAAGGTTGACTCAGCCTTCCATCCTTCCGAGGTGGGTGAAATGAGGACCCAGATTGTTGGGGGCAATATGCTATTTAGTATACTGTCTTTGGTGTAAGCCGCCCAGAGTCCTCGGAGAGTGGGCGGCATAGAAATATGAATAATAAAATAAAATAAATAAATAAATCACAACCGATGGGACAAAAAAACAGCACGACACCACTGTTTGATGCCTGTGCTTCAAGCAACAACAACAACAGCTCAATATGAACGTGAATCAGGTTTTCTGCAAATTTCACATGTAGAGAAAAAAAGAGAGGAAAGATTGAAAATGAGCATCCTCATCACTCCTTGGCACAACTGAATGCCATCCTGCCAGACTGTTCCTACAGGAAAACTCACTGTCATGTTGTCCGTTCTCCCAGCTGCTCCATCGACCGAGGTGCCCCACCCTGCCGATTTTTGTCCTCCGCAGCTGTTTGCTCCCCTTGATTGACAAGAATGCCAGCCTCACCCTAGGCAAGGTTGACTGAGCAGAGCTGCCCCACATAACTCCTTTTATTCTTATCAGCTGGACAAACAGGGGGAATGCATCCTTTGAAATGCAAGACGGGAAGCTGCCGGGAAGCAGCCAAAGAATGTTCCTCTGTTATCTTTGATTGATCTCCTTTTTTCAGAAGTCTTTTACTTCCAAGGAAGCTCGGCCCACAATGTTGACCATTGCTTAGAAATGTGAAACAACTGGGGGAAGAGGAGTGGGGATTATCCCAGTCTTTGAACTGAACTGAACAAAAAACAGGTGATATTCCAATACAATGCAAAACGTTCTCATGTTCCAAAAGGCTACAAACAGAGTACGGGTCATACTCGCACTTACGACCAACACACCACATACCCCCATATTTTTTATCCAGGTTAGTGGGCTCCAAAATCCCAGAGAGCCAACACAACCCCCCAGGTGACTTCTGGGCATCATATCCACAAGTATAGAGGTGGCCAAAATTGTGGAAACCTTTTGGGAAAAGTATATTTTTGAGGTTTCATGGCTAATAACACCACTATTTTTTTTGGAGTTTCGAGATAATCCTATTCCACTGCTGGAATGGCCTGGGAATAGCCCAGACCTTCACCCAATTGAAAATTGATGGAGCCGACTCAAGAAATTTTGTTAGTCAGAAGCGACCCAGCAATTAAACCCAGTTAATAGAAGCCATCATTCAATCTTGGTTTCACATTATAACAGCTACAGAACTAAAAGACTTGGTTCGCTCCATGGGAAGACGTTGTAAGGCTGTAATTCATGCTAAAGGTTACCCAACGAAGTATTAACTGACATGGGGATCATTTTTGTATATCTCGTCTTTTTTCCTATGGTGATAATTTTTGTATATCTCGTTTTTTCTATGTGTTTCACTTTTCTTCTTTACACTGTAACTGCTATTCTAATAGCAAATCCTTCATAAAAGTTATTGCATTATATTCTTGATTAAATTATCTTTCCATTGATATATAATATATATATATATTATTTATATGCCGCCCTTCTCCGGAGACTCAGGGCGGCTTACAATGCGTTAAGCAATAACCTTCATACTTTTGTATATTTTATACAAAGTCAGCTTATTGCCCTCACAAACTGGGTCCTCATTTTACCTACCTTAGAAAGGATGGAAGGCTGAGTCAACCTTGAGCCTGGTGAGATTTGAACTCGCAGTAATTGCAGGCAGCTGGAAGCTAAATACTACCTTTAACAGTAGCATTAGTCTGCTGTGCCACTCAGGCTTAGGGTACCCTCAGGCTTAGGTTACACTTAGGGTACTACTCCAAAAAAAGTGGTGTTATTAGCTAGTCTTAGAAAATACATTTTCCCCAAAAGGTTTCCACAATTTTGGCCACTACTGTACTCAAAAGGCTTGTACTCACTTGTTACTATACTACTCTCCCCCAAATCTACTTAACAACTCTTGTTCCTCTCTTTGTGAGCCCTACTTCGGAAGAACAGTAGCTGGTCTGTTTGTCTCCGGCTGCTTCGGGCTGTTTCAGCTTCCCAAACAAACACTTTTGTGAGAGTACACACAACAGGCTCTCAACATTGTTCCTGCGGCCACCAGCCATCCCCCAGCCTGCCTTGCATGAAAAGGAGGAAATGGAAGTGCGTTTCTGCTAAAAGCTGCATGCCTGCATTTGTGTCAGGCGCAAGGGACCAGAATGATACTTGGGGGATAATCACAGTTATTTCTTCATTGCTAACCTATTTACAACTGTCTCTCTAGACCCGTGATGGCGAACCTATGGCACGCGTGCCACAGGTGGCACGTGGAGCCATGTCGCCTGGCACGCCAGCTTAGCTCCGGGAGTCTCTGGAGGCTGGGGACAGCAAAAAACATCACTTCCTGTCCAACTGGAAGTTGGGAAATGGGCCGTTTCAGGCCTCCGGAGGGCCTCCAAGGAGGTGGGGAAGGCTGTTTTCGCCCTCCCCAGATGCATAGAGAGGATCTGGAGCCAGGTGAGAAAGAAAAACGGGCCATCACATGCCAAGAGCGGGGGGGGGAGGGCGAGGGGAGGGGAGGGGTGGTCACGCGCGCATGCGAGGGGCAAATAGAATTATGGGTATGGGCACGTGTGCGTGCGAACCTCCCCTGCCCCCCCCTTCCTGGCATGTGATGGCAAAAAGCTTAGCCATCACTGCTCTAGACTGACTGCCTTCTCTTGGGAATGCTCAGATAAAGGCTGCGGGGATTTGGGGGGAGACAATCAGAAATCGGGGGATGCGGTGGCTCTGTGGCTATGATGCTGAGCTTGTCGATTGAAAGGTCGGCAGTTCGGCGGTTCGAATCCCTAGCGCCGCGTAACGGGGTGAGCTCCCGTTATTTGTCCCAGCTTCTGCCAACCTAGCAGTTCGAAAGCAGGTAAAAAATGCAAGTAGAAAAATAGGGACCACCTTTGGTGGGAAGGGAACAGCGTTCCGTGCGCCTTTGGCGTTGAGTCATGCCGGCCACATGACCACGGAGACGTCTTCGGACAGCGCTGGCTCTTCGGCTTTGAAACGGAGATGAGCACCGCCCCCTAGAGTCGGGAACGACTAGGACACATGTGCGAGGGGAACTTTTGCCTTTATCTTTAATCAGAAATAAAGCTGAGAAAAATTAAATATTAAACTCTCCTTGACTCATTTTTGAAGTCTCTTTTATCGGTGTCGATGGATTTTCTCCGTCATCCAGGTCATGGTTGTCCCAAAGGTGCTTTTTTCAAGAGGCAACTGGACTTTCTGGTTTTTCTTTGAAGACGTTTCTCTTCTCATCCAAGAAGCTTCTTCAGCTCTGACTGGGATGGTGAAGAAAGGGAGGATTTATGTTCCTTGCAGGCAGCTGGCCATTTGCATTCTTTTTAACCAGCTGTCTGCAAGGAGTATAAATCCTCCCTTTCTCCACCATCCAGTCAGAGCCGAAGAAGCTTCTTGGATGAGAAGTGAAACGTCTTCAAAGAATGACAAGAAAGTCCATCTGCCTCTTGGAAAAAGCACCTTTGGGTCTCTTTTATAGATCTTACAGCTATGTTCATATTGATGCAGGTTTTCCAGATCTCAAAAAGGTGTATATGACTGATGCTGAAATGCCAATATCTCACAATGGGGGAATCTATACCAGGGATGAAATCCAGCAGGTTCTGACAGGTTCTGGAGAACCGGTAGCAGAAATTTTGAGTAGTTCAGAGAACTGGCAAATACCACCTCTGACTGGCCCCAGAGTGGGGTGGGAATGGAGATTTTGCAGTATCCTTCCCCTGGAGTGGGGAGGGAATGGGGATTTTGCAGTATCTTTCCCCTGGAGTGGGGAGGGAATGGGGATTTTGCAGTATCTTTCCCCCAGGAGTGGGGAGGGAATGGAGATTTTGCAATATCCGAGTGGGGAGGGAATGGGGATTTTGCAGTATCCTTCCCCCTGGAGTGGGGAGGGAATGGAGATTTTGCAATATCCTTCCCCTGGAGTGGGGAGGGAATGGGGATTTTGCAGTATCCTTCCCCTAGAGTGGGGAGGGAATGGGGATTTTGCAGTATCCTTCCCCCAGGAGTGGGGAGGGAATGGGATTTTGCAGTATCCTTCCCCTGGAGTGGGGAGGGAATGGGATTTTGCAATATCCTTCCCCTGGAGTGGGGAGGGAATGGGGATTTTGCAGTATCCTTCCCCTGGAGTGGGGTGGGAATGGGGATTTTGCAGTATCCTTCCCCTGGAGTGGGGAGAGAATGAGGATTTTGCAGTATCCTTTCCCCTGGAGTGCGGAGGGAATGGGGATTTTGCAGTATCCTTCCCCTGGAGTGGGGAGGGAATGGGGATTTTGCAGTATCCTTCCCCTGCCATGCCCACAGAACCGGTAGTAAATTTGGATTTCACCACTGACCTATACCCACTCAGAGGTATTGGAAATAAACCCATTTAGTAAATCCAACTTGTACATTTGTTTTATTAAAAAAGGCAGATGATGACTCAGGAAAAAAAAAAAATCACTCAGCAACTGATACCCTTCCCAGAACGCAACCATTATCGAAATACAGTAGCCTCCTGCAGCATCTGTCCTCCAGATGTGTTGGACTAGAATTTGCAGCCTTTCCTTGCTGACAGCTAATGACTCTGCTACCAGCAATGGGAGTCATGGCTCATCAAGACTGGAAGGCAGATAAGGAGGAAAAACTACATGATTAAAGCAAGAGAGAGAGAGAGAGAGAGAGATAAAATAATGAGAGGAGCTTCCGTACCTTCTACCGGGGATGAAAACGTATGATTTATGGTAGACACCGTCACATTGGAACACTCAAAATACTCCAGTTCTTCCTCGGGCTCACCTTTTACCTCCAACTCAGCTGGCTTTTGACCGGTGGAAGCCAACTTCTCTTCATCGGTAGCATGCCCGTCTCGACTGGGAAGATCTGGGATTTTGGAAATAAGAGCTGCCTCCTCTTCACTCTACATAAAGACGAAGGCGGTTAAACTGAGAATGATCAAATCTGAACTATGTACCCATCACCATGACAGCAGTCTTCCAATCTCTCAGGGGCTGCCCCAAAGAAGAGGGAGTCAAGCTATTCTCCAAAGCACCTGAAGGCAGGACAAGAAGCAACGGGTGGAAACTCATCGAGGAGAGAAGCAACCTAGAACTAAGAAGTTTCCTGACAGTTAGAACAAGGAATCCGTGCTTCAGATGTTTTCAATGCTCCAACACTGGAAGTTTTAAAGAAGAGGTGGTCCAATTGGTGGTCCATAGTCCACTGGTGGTCCGCGAGAAAATTTTGGTGGTCCGCAGAAAAATTATTTCCATTTTTAACATTGCACTAAATCAGGGGTCCTCAAACTACAGCTCCTGGGATGGATACGTGCAATGAACGTTTATGTTGCTGCAGAGAGTCTCCCCCTTCGAGGTCTTTTTGTGTCGGTCGGAGGGGGACAGAAATTCTGACTTGGGGTCTGTTTGAGCCTCCTGGTGTGGGGCTTTGGACGAAGGCTGGAGGGAAGTGTCGCTGGTGGCAAAGAGCCGGAGGGCTTCGTTCCAGTGGGACTGCATCATGGCCTGGAACTGGCTGACCATCTCAGCCCACTGAGCCTCCAGGCGCTGGTACCTGGCCTTGCACTCCCTCAGGTCTTCCCTCTGCTTGGAAAGCCTATGCTCCTAGTCCTCAGTGAGGTGCTTCTGCTGAGCCTCCTTCTCGGCCAGATCCAATTTGAACTGAGCTGTTTTGCCAACTCTTTCTCGTGGTGGCTGCTTAGCTCCAACAACTGCTTTCTGTTGGGGCCCTAAGGAGCCCGGGCGGGGAGGTGAGGAGCTGGCCACACCCACCCAGTCACATGATCACCTAGCCACACCCACCCAGCTGGTCATCAGACAGATCATGTTAGTGGTCCACGGGATTTAAAATTATGAATTTAGTGGTCCCTGAGGTCCGAAAGGTTGGTGACCCCTGTTGTTTTTTTTTAAATTCGATTTATATGCCGCCCTTCTCCGGAGACTCAGGGTGGCTTACAATGCATTAAGCAATAACCTTCATATTTTTTTATATTTATACAAAGTCAGCTTATTGCCCCCACAAACTGGGTCCTCAATTTACCCACCTTAGAAAGGATGGAAGGCTGAGTCAACCTTGAGCCTGGCGAGATTCGAACCTGCAGTAATTGCAGGCAGCTGAATGTTAATAACAGGTTATTAGTCTGCTGCACCACCAGGATCTTGACTGGAGTCGTGTAGGGTTTCTTGCCTAAGCAGGGGGTTGGACTAGAAGACCTCCAAGGTCCCTTCCAACTCTGTTATTCTATTCTGTAAGTTAATAAGAACCTAATAACATAGACCAGGGGTGTCACCCTCAAGGCCTGGGGGCCGGAACCGGCCCATGGGGTGCTTAAATCTGGTCCGTGAGGCTGGCTTGAAAACAGCCAAGGACTGCCCTGCGGCGCCTCTGCCAGTGAAAAAGGAGTTTCCGTTTTGACTGGCAAAAGAGGGCAAGCAAAACAAACTGAAAACAAAACAAAAAGAGAAATGTTTCCCTTTTTGCATTTCTGCATGCAAGAAGGGACAGGAAAGGAGAAAGGGAAAAAGGAAAGACAAAAGATGGGAGAGAGCAGGAAGGAAAGAAGGAGGAAGGAAGGAAGGAAGGAAGGAAGGAAGGAAGGAAGGAGAAGGAAGGAAGGTTATAATGAGTGAGAGGAGGGTCTCACTCAGGGAAGTCCTTCTGTCAAGTTTCCGAAAGATGCTCTAATTAATTCATGAGCCATGCTCCAAACTTCAAAGGAAATATATTCATTTATTAGGAGCACCATTCCGGCAATACTCGGATGCAGTTAGGACTGATCCTACATAGATTTACGTTCCCCTATGATCCTGTCTCTCCCCTCCTCTCTGGCCATGTCACAAATCACATTCTCCAATTAACCACTTTGGCTGGCTGTGAAACCTAACACCCTCCTTCTGATTGCAGTCAGGAAGAATGTATGGAATGCACTTCAGTTAGGGAAATTCAGCTCTATCAGTTCTCCCTCCCTCCTGCTCATGGCAACTTGAAAGCTTTGCAAGTTGACACCTGCCTTAGTACCACAAGTGCCCCCGACACGAGTTCCATTCCATGTCACACCCACCATGGCCATGTCCCCAACCACATACCCACAACCAGCCACCATTGGCTCTTCGCCTCTGAGACAAGGGCAACCAACTCTTTACCTGAGAGCAACCATCCAGCGCCATGGAATGAGTTTCATACTTCCTCACTTTGCAGCCACTCCTGTAAAAAAAAAAAAAAAAAGAACGGGTGTAGTGGTTAGGGTCAGATTTTCTGGTTTTCCCATGGAAAGAGGAGAGCAAGCAAGGGAGAAGAGACACACACATACACAGCCAGAGAGGGAGGAACTGAAGCAAAACAAGGGGCAAATCCTGAATTTGCTGACGTTCAGCAGGGAAGGAAAGTCACCAGCCATTTCCCCCCCAATGTTTCCTGAATGTTATTTCTTGACCTGAAATAACCAACAAGGCTTTTGAGCAGGGGTGAAATGCTCCCGGTTCAGACCGGATCGCCTGATCCGGTAGCGATGGAGGCGGGTGGTTCAGAGAACCGGTAGCAAAAATCCCTGCCCCCCTCCCATGCCCAGCTGAGCTGCACAATCATCAGAGCCCCCACCCCTTTTTTTTGCTTTTAAAAGCTTTTTTCTACAACCTCTTCGGCCAAAAAATGCTTTTAAAAGTAAAAAAAAAAGCCTCTGATGATCACATGCTCAGCTGGGATCATCAGAGGCATTTAAAAGAAAAAAACCCTTTTTTCTTAAATGCCTCTGATGATCCAAGCTGAGTTGTCTGATCGGCAGAGGCTTTTTTAAAAACTCACTTGGATCTTTTTTTTTTGCTTTTAAAAGCATTTTTTCTACAACCTCTTCGGCCGAAAAAATGCTTTTAAAAGTAAAAAAAAAAGCCTCTGATGATCACATGGCTCAGCTGGGATCATCAGAGGCATTTAAAAGAAAAAAACCCTTTTTTTCTTTTAAATGCCTCTGATGATCCAAGCTGAGTTGTCTGATCGGCAGAGGCTTTTTTAAAAACTCACTTGGATCGTCAGAGGCATTTAAAAGAAAAAAACCCTTTTTTTCTTTTAAATGCCTCTGATGATCCAAGCTGAGTTGTCTGATCGGCAGAGGCTTTTTTAAAAACTCACTTGGATCGTCAGAGGCATTTAAAAGAAAAAAAACCCTTTTTTTTCTTTTAAATGCCTCTGACGATCCCAGCTGAGTTGCCTGATCGGCAGAGGCTTTTTAAAAAAGCCTCTGCCGATCAGGCAACTCAGCTGGGATCGTCAGAGTCTTTTGAAAGTATTTTTTAACAACCTCTTCACCGAAGAGGTTGTAGAAAAAATGGTTTTAAAAGTAAAAAAAAAAATAAATTGGCCATGCCCACCCAGTCACATTACACCCCTCCCCGCCACCAAGCCATGCCCACAGAACCGATAGTAACAAATTTTAGATTTCACCACTGCTTTTGAGCAAGGCAAAAGACACAACGCCGATAGAGGTGATCCAGACCCGTTTGCCACACAGAATAGATGTGGGTGCAAGTGCTGAATAGAGACATGCACAATTCTCATTTTTGAAAGAAGAATGAATGTACGTTCAGGATAAACGTGAAGAGGGAACCTACTTGGGTGCAACACTAAGCCAGATTCTTCCTTCATCCCCTCTTGAAAAGAAGAACCAAAACATCTGCTTCCTGTTTCAAACTAATCACCGTGTGCTTCAACCCGTCCCAGAGGTGGTATCCAGCAGGTTCTGACCAGTTCTGGAGAACTGGTAGCAGAAATTTTGAGTAGTTCGGAGAACCGGTAGTAAAAATTCTCACTGGTTCCACCCCCATCTATTCTCTGCCTCCCAAGTCCCAGCTGATCGGGAGGAAATGGGGATTTTGCAGTAACCTTCCCCTGGATTGGAGAGGGAATGGAGATTTCTCAGTATCCTTCCCCTGGTGTGGGGTGGGAATGGAGATTTTACAGTATCCTTCCCCTGCCACGCCCACCAAGCCACACCACGCCACGTCCAGAGAACCGGTAGTAAAAAAAAATTCGAAATTCACCACTGACCTGCCCCTATTTTAAAATAAGGATTTTGGAAAGCTTAAGCCGTGATTAATATACCACAGTTTTGTTCCTAAATGGTGGTTCAAACTAAACAGACTTTCCCCTGTTTGGGACACAGCCCACCTAGGTTTAAAAGAAGAACGACATTGTCCATCCCCAGTGGACAAATACATGTTTAGGCAGAAAAGGGGAATCATTTTTGTTCCTTGCACTATCTATTTTCCTACTAAATGCCAGACAGGTTGATGGATCCTACAGGAGAGGGATCTAGAATGGGTGGCAGTTAGCAAACTATAAATATTCCTCGAATTACAACACTTTATTTAATGACCAAAGTTGCAAGAGCATTGAAAAAAGTGACTTATGACCGTTTTTTTTTACACTTACAACTAGAATAGAATAGAATAACAGAGTTGGAAGGGACCTTGGAGGTCATCTAGTCCAATCCCCTGCCCAGGCAGGAAACCCTACACCACTTCAGACAAATGGTTATCCAGCATCTTCTTAAAAACTTCCAGTGTTGGAGCATTCACAACTTCTGGTGGCAGGTTGTTCCACTGATTAAAATTAGTATCCCCAAGATCATTTGATCAAAATTCAGACGGTTGGCATCTGACTCATATTTATGACGGTTACAGTGTCCTAGGGACATGCGATCCCTTTTTTTTTAACCTTCTGACAAGCCAAGTCAATGGGACAGACAGATTCATTTAACAACCGTGTTGCTAACCTAACAACGGCAGTGATTCACTTAACAACGGTGGTAAAATGGAGCAAAAAGTCACTTAACAAAGATCTCACTTAGCAACAGAAATGTTGGGCTTTTCAATTGTGGCCGTAAGCCGAGGACCACCTGTGATAAGTTGATGGTTTGCAACTGGTTGTATTCCCTTACAACTGCCCTGTTGTCAACGGACTATCCCAGCAGCCATTTTGAGCCTGTGCCCACGTCCTCCAAATTCACAATTTGCCAAAGCTCCGGACTGGCGTAGTCCAATTATTCCATCTCTTTCACCTAAACAAAGAAAAGTACTAAGATTTGCAAGACTCAGCCCTACTTTCTTCCCCCACTGCCGCTGCAGATCAAAGACCAGCAAACTCTGAATAAATAGAACAATTATTCCAGTTGTCATCCTTCGTCTCCCATCAAATTAATTGGCAGGGATGAAAGTAGTTAAAAGCAAAATGAAGCCTTTAGCTGCTGGCTAGCTTTTATCCTGATAGCCTGCGCTGGTTTGGGTTATTGTCATCTATAGTAAGTAAGTAGTACTTACTTACTTACTACGGTCATCTAAGGAACGCAGCCTGTGCAGGTACAGAGTGCAAGCAAAACGACCTTGTAATCACAATTCCATCTGCAAAGGGGCCCTTAAGGATTAATCGCTTGTGTGATTCCTTGCAATCCAAGCACTGCATCCTAGACTCACTAATAAAGCCATCACACCCCCTTTGAGCTGAATGGGAATCCTTTCACAAGCAAATGTGCTCTGGACTCCACGGGAGAAGCAGCCAATTAAGACGAAGCAGTGAATAAACTGCCAAAACAAGAGTTGATCCTTCGGCCACACATTTCGAGGGTCTTTAAAGAGAAACAAGTTCCTGGCTTCCCTCTGATAATGCCTCTGAGCAACAAAATGATGGTTAACTTAATTAAAAAGCAGGGGGCAAAGCAGGCATGGAAATTGGAATTCTTGCTTACACGGCAAAGTCTAAACCCAAGAAAATAACAACCTGGAGTTTAGGATGATTTTACACACGCGTGCATCCAGACATGCGTCGCCAAAAGGAAAATTAAGGCAAATGTGTTTGCTTCTATTGCCATGTTCTCAGAAAACCTAAGACAGCCTACTTATTTTAAAAAAGAATGAGAGCGAGAGAGAGAAACAGAGAGAAACAGAAAGAGAGAAACAGAGAGAGAAAGAAAGAGAGAGAGAGAAAAAGAGAAAGAAAGAAAGAAAAAGAGAAAGGGAGAAAGAGAAAAAGAAAGAAACAGAAAGGGAGCGAAAGAAAGAGGGTGAGAGAGAAAAAAAGAAAAAGAGAGGAAGAGAGTGAAAGAGTGAAAGAGAAAGAAAAAAGAGATAGAGAGAAAAAAGAAAGAAAAACAGAGAAAGAAAGAAAGAGAGAGGGGGAGAGACAGAAAGAAAAAGAGAGGAAGAAAAAGTGAAAGAGAAAGAAAAAAGAGATAGAGAGAAAGAGAAAGAGAGAGAAAGAGAAAGAAAGAAAGAGGGAGAAAGAGAAAGAAAAAGAGAGTGAAAGGGTGAAAGAGAAAGAGAAAAGAGATAGAAAGAGAAAAAGAAAGAAAAAGAGAAAGAAAGAAAGAGAAGGAAAGAGAAACAGAAAAAGAGAGAAACTGAAAGAGGGAGAAACAAAGAGCGAAGAGAAACAGAGAGAGAGAGAGGGAGGGAAAGAGAGAAAGAGAAACAGAGAGAGAGAGGGGGGAAAGAGAGAAAGAAAGAGGAAGAGAGGAAGAGAGTGAAAGAGAAAGAAAAAAAGAGAGAGAAAAAAAAAGAAAAAGAGAGAGAGAGAAAAGAGAAAGAAAGAGGGAGAGAAAGAAAAAGAAGTGAAAGAGAAAAAAAGAGATAGAAAGAGAAAAAGAAAGAGAAAGAAAGAGAAACAGAAAAAGAGAGAGAGAGAGAGAGGGAGGGAAAGAGAGAAAGAGAAACAGAGAGAGAGAGGGATGGAAAGAGAAAGAGAGAGAGAGAGAGAGAGAGAGAGAGAGAGATCTTTTAATTTAGCAATCCCTCCCCCACAACATACACAGTTCCCGTTCAAGCCCACAGCATTGTTCTCATTTCAGTTGTCACAATTTGCAGAGGCTGCTTTTTCTCACCAGCCCTGCATTTTCGATTTCTTTTTTTTTAATTATTATTATTATTATTTTTAACATTTTATATTTTAAATTACTGCATTTTCAATTTCAAGACCAGCAGCAGCCCTCCCCTTGCCCTGCCCTGATGCAACGAGATGCTATAAAAGCAAGAAGCCCGAAAGGCAGTTTTTATCCTGGCTCTAAAAAAAAAACCAAAAACCTGCTCTCTGTTTCTCACAACACAAGTACATTAAGCCAACCAGCTTGATTTATTTATTTAAAACATTTAGACAGCTGCCCGTCTTTTTAACCAGCTCTGGCCAGCTCTCAATCAAACACGAGAACCCCAAGCTGAATTTCCTCATTCTTCTCTTGGGAGACAAGCCAGACAGTGGTGGGTTTCTATTAGTTCCTCCCGGTTCGGGTGAATTGGTAGCGGCGGTGGGAAGCTCCGCCCACCCGCCCAGACGTCATCAAAAACGCTCTGAGCACGCGCAGAAACGCCATGCGCACACCTGCGTGCTACTGATAGTGAACTGGTAGCACCGGGATTTGAACCCCGCTACTGAAACCAAAGCAGAAACAGGTAGAGCAGTGACTCTAGAAAAGCCTTTTTATTGTGGTTCTGTGGACGTGTGGAGGTGGCACGCAAGAGCGCACACACTCCCATTTGCGAACCGGTAGTGAAGGTAAGTCAACACTACCCCTGCTACAGACCCCTCACATCTGGACATAAACTGTTTCAACTTCTACGCTCAGGACAACCCTATAGTATATTGCATGCAGTAACAACTAGGTGGAAAGATAGTTTGTTCCCCCCTGTTCCATCCCTCTGCTGAACACCTAATTCCCACAGCACCGTCTCAGTGCTATTTTACCCATGTAGTAGGCTTTATTGCTATTATCCTTCTCATCTTTCCTACTATCTTCTCCTATTGGTGTCTTATGATTTATCACTTGTCGTTTTGTATCTTATGGTTGAAGATTGTAACTATGATTTATGATCTATGACCCATCACTTTTTTGTGTGTTTTTGTACATTGAGAGTTTATGCACCGGAGACCAATTCCTTGTGCGTCCAAAAAAAAAATATTTTCTGTTCTGTTGTGTCCTATTCCATTCCACTCTATTTCCTATTCTATTCTATTCTATTCTATTCTATTCTATTCTATTCTATTCTATTCTTACTTTTATTCTAATACTAATTTTATTCTAATTCTAGTTCATTCTAATTCTAATTCTATTCTATTACTAATTTATCTTAATACTAATTCTATTCTAATTCTAATTTATTCTAATACTAATTCTATTCTATTACTAATTTTATTCTAATTCTAATTTATTCTAATACTAATTCTTTTCTAATTCTAATTAATTCTAATTAATTCTAATTCTTATTCTATTACCAATTTATCCTAATACCAATTCTATTCTAATTTATTCTAATACTAATTTTATTCTAATTCTAATTAATTCTAATTCTATTCTAATTCTAATTAATTCTAATTCTAATTCTATTCTAATTCTAATTAATTCTAATTCTAATTCTATTACTAATTTATCCTAATACTAATTCTATTCTAATTCTAATTTATTCTAATACTAATTCTATTCTAATTTATTCTATTACTAATTCTATTCTAAAATTCTAATTCTATTCTTCTCACCACCCATTCTGAAACAGCTACTGCAAATTCTTTTTGTCAACTGAGCTTGATCTCACGGACGCATCCATATAATTTTCTTGACAGCCATCTGAAATTGGGTTACCAGAGATGAACCCTCATTTGGGAGACTTGCAAGGACACACCACAAGCCGGGATCGTTTTGCAGGCACAGACATCCACTGCAAATAAGCATGCCATCCACAGCGGATCAAATCAGATCAAATCAAATGTTATTACTGCTATCAAAGATCGCAAATGCCATCAACAGCAAGCAGAGTCATCATCTCTCCCTCCTTGTTCCGCTGGGAAGCAAAGCTGCCAGATAAAATTGTGCCTTTTAAATGGAGGCCAAGGACAATACACTCGTTTTTTTTTTTAAAAAAAAAGGCAGGAGGGGGGAAAAAAAGCAACATGCAACAGAGAGAAAACCAGAGAAGGAGAAACAGAGAGAACTCCCAAAACCTTCCAGAAAAGGAATAAAATGAAAAGAAAAGAAAAGGAGGGGGAGAGAAGAGTACTTACAACAGAAAACAGAGAAATTTCACTTGTTCTGTAGTCCTGAGGCACCAGAAAATAAACAGACAAGAAAGACAAGCAGAAGGAGAGAGATGGAAGGGAAGGAGAAAATATACATGAAAGATCCAGATATATATATTTCCTATTGAATAAATGCAAGATATCCTCTGAAAAGGACCAGTAAGCTAGGAAAAGCTGTAGAACTTGACATATTTAGGACTAAGAGGAGACCTCAAAAGAAGTGTCAGGGTTTATTATAAGAACCGTATCTAAATGTCGCAGTTTCTGCATGAACATCAGATGGAATTAAAATCTCTGAAGAGTCTCAGCTTTCATTGTAAATCGCATAAAGCCACTTGTTAATGGCTTGTGAAACTCTTGGATCAAAGGTTGATGAGGTCTCAGAAACTAGAAATGGGGACGAAGGAAACTGCCAGGGCTAGCTGACTGGAAATTTTAGGATTTTGGTATGGTACCTGGGCCCACAAGCTTCTTTAAAGGTAAAGGTTCCCTTCGCACATATGTGCTAGTCGTTCCCGACTCTAGGGGGCAGTGCTCATCTCTGTTTCAAAGCCGAAGAGCCAGCGCTGTCTGAAGACGTCTCCGTGGTCATGTGGCTGGCATGACTCAATGTCAAAGGCGCACAGAACGCTGTCACCTTCCCACCAAAGGTGGTCCCTATTTTTCTACTTGCATTTTTTACCTGCTTTCAAACTGCTAGGTTCGCATTTAAGCTGGGACAAGTAACGGGAACTCACCCTGTTATGCGGCACTAGGGATTCGAACCGCTGAACTGCCAACCTTTCGATCGACATGCTCAGCATCTTATCCAGTGAGCCACCGTGTCCCTTACAAGCTGATTAGCAATCCCTAAATTGCAAGCATGCAAAACTGAATGTAGTGTAATCTGCATAATTGATCCAAATCTTAGAATCAAGCTTAGCAGCTGGGGGCATAGAGTTTCAATTATAGAGGCAGGAGATGGGCCAAGTCGTCTATATGTAGCAGATACCCAATTGTATCCATAAACTCTTATCCCTGGAAAGCAACAGCCAATGTGGGCTGGAAAGCAAGCTGAAACCTTCCAGATGTTCTGAACTGTCCATCAATTCCAGACAGCATAATCAATAAGCAGGGATGTTGGGAACTGTAGTTTAGCCATGCTCGGAGCATTACAGGTTTCCTACTGGATCAGTGATGCAACTCCTTAGACCTTCTCATGACCTTTCAGATGTTAATGTGATGTCACATCTTACAAATGTGTCATGCTAGTATTTGCTCATTTCCAAAGGACCTCAACAATTCCCTGTTGCTTATTAACCTTTCCCCCCACTTCTGGATTCCTGCCGAATATTTATTAGCACATTTAAGAATTACAGTTCCAACCTGCTTATCTTCCATGGGGTACCTTGCTGATTTCCTGTTCAAAAGCTTTTTAATACCAAGAAGTCGATGGCATCATATCTCTATCCAGATCAATCCAGAATCTGGGAACACATTGACTTTGTATCTTTCATAGATAGTGTTAGGATATGGTTTGAGCCTAACAAGTTGTCCAGGCAATATATGTGTTCTGTGACTTTAATATGAATATGTATTATGTGACTTTAAAGTTTTACTGCTGATTCATTGTAATGCTGAGTCATGCTGTAATTAGATAATCACTAGTTGTAAACGTATTTAAGAAAGGTACTGTAACGTATTCAGTTGATGATATGCTACCATTGTGTGTGGAGTTGCTACCATTGTGCTATAATCGGTGGATGGATCTGCTACCATCGTGGTTTGTTACCAGAGTGAACTTGTTATTCTAACCAACTACTGTTCGTATGGTAAGAAGATTTTTATATCACTGGACTGATTTAACTGGCAAAGACTTGGATTGATTTTTTTTTTTATTTGATTTATATGCCGCCCTTCTCCAGAGACTCAGGGCGGCTTACAATGCGCTAAGCAATAGCCTTCATTCTTTTGTATATTTATACAAAGTCAGCTTATTGCCCCCACAACTGGGTCCTCATTTAAAGACTATCATTTAAAGACTATGTGATTGCTTTTTCCCTATAAAATAAAGTTTTGATAAACCAGTTTGCACATCTCTTATTCATTGCTCTCAGCAACGTTTCTCTGTGCTCTACACTCTGCTGGTTGGTAACACAACAACAATATCCTTAACAGATAGGGTTAATAAAGTGGAGCTGCAAAAATCCAGATGACCATTAATCATCTGGCTTAGTGACCTGTCTCATTAAGCCTCATGTTATGCCCACACAATCTCAATGGAGCAGAAGAGGCCATCTTAGGAAGATTGGCTGATTCAGTCTGCAAATCCTTTGTGAAAAGAACTTCTCCCTAAAATATCACAGTGCTTTTTCTGTTTCACATGTATTTTGCACACGCAATGAGGCTGCGGCTCATCCTGCTTTCCCACCGATGCATGACTACACTAATGAGCTACGACCGAGATGGAAACCCTTGGCAAGTTATACTTTTGTTAGAACTTGAAATAGCTTTGGAAGCAGCTACACAAATTGTCCTCCTGTTGTGACTCTGTTGCCTGAGCCTGGGCTATCGACAGATGCAGACTCTGAGAGTGAGGGAGAGGAGCTGGCATGGCCTCCCTCTCCAGGACCCTCCTCTCTGGCAATGCCTCCGGAGGACACCGAAGGCGAAACGATAGGCTCAGAGCCAAGCACGTCCCCGCAGCCACAGGTGGACAGCGACGAAGAAGATAAGTGCTGGCTGGACCCGCGACAGAGGCGCAGGGAGAAGCGTGCACAGCAGAGGGGAAGGCGTGCCAGAGATTAGCTGAGTCACTGGACCACACCCCACAGGGTATAAATGTGGGTGTGGTGGCTGGTTCAGTTTGTGACAAGCAAAAACTGGAAATAATCCATGATCTCTGCGTTACTGGACTTTGCCTGCTTTATCGGACTGCATTTGGATTAATCCTTGTATTGTTGACACTCTGCCTGTTTTATCGGAATGCTTGCAGTCTAATCTTTGTATTGAGTGAGTAAAGTCTGAATTGGCAGCTAGCCACTGGGTTGCTGCCAGCTTTATCTTCAAAGAGTTTTGTCGTGTGGCTTATTAACTCCGGGCCGTCTGTGGGGGTGCGTGTGGGGTACGGGGACAGAACACCTCCTGACTTGGCGGGCATTAAGGGAGATGGCAACGAATGGGCCACACCTCAGTTAGGGGACAGTAACATTTCTGTTGACTTTAAGACAAGACACCAGGAAAGCAGGATTGGCCCGCCCCACTCATGCTGACACAGGGGGTGTACTGCAATTCCCATCAGCCAAGGAATTTCGGCTGGTGGGATCCAGGAGAACATTAAATTCTAGAACAGACTTTTCTGCCTCAGCATCTGCTCTTTGGGACATCTTACCACAAGAGGTAAGATCCACCCTCTCTCTTTTAATCTTTGGGAAAGTTCTTAAAACCTGGCATGGGGCCCTGAAGGACATGTTGTGGCTGGAAGTAGCTGGTGCACCAACAGAAAAGGCACCTCCATCTGTCCCCTCCGAACCTTTCCTTTTTAGTTTGTTTTGATTTTTGCAAATTTAATCTGTTTTTATATTTATAACTGTTGGGTGTTTGCAGGGGTGGGATTCAGCCGGTTCGGATTGGTTTGGGCGAACCGGTAGCTCCGACGATCAGCTGAGAGCAAACTGGTTCGTTCCGATGATCAGCTGGGCCCCTGCACTATACTGACCTATATTTCCTTTGCTTGAAGCCCAGCTGATTGCCGCGCATCAGCTGTTTTACTCACCAGGACTGCAGTAGAAGCTTTAGAGCTGTTTTCAAATGCACTGCACGCACTGGTTGTTACACCAGTTGTATCCCACTACTGGGTGTTCGTGTGTTTTATCTTGGTGTAAGCCGCTCAGAGTTGCCTTGAACCATGAAGTGGGGGGGGGGCAAATAATTTGGATAAATAAAATATATGAAGTGTGGGTGACAAAAGTAATAAAACTTTTCCAGGTTTTTACTGCTTTCTCTCCCAGACAGGAAGAGTTAAAAAAAAAAAAGCTCAGCATCTCAGGATGAAGGAATTATTGAACCATTTCTTTTCGAACCTGCATATAGATAGGTCTCAATTGGTGCAGGTTTGAATACTTCCAAATTTGATTTGAGTGTGATTTATACGCTGAGACCAAGGCAACGTGAAATTCAGTTATTGCAAGTTTGCCACCTGGGTTTTAGATGATTAATGTGCGCAAAATGAAGAAAAAGGAAGTTACGTTGGAGGAAATCTCAAAAAGAAGGAAAGGTGTAGTGGCGCAGTGGTTAGAATACAGTACTGCAGGCTGCTTCTACTGACTGCCGGCTGCTGACACCTGCTGATTGGGGAATACACATATACAGTATCTAGCAGGGGATGGATCACAAGGGCACAAAGTGGGCAAGGCTGTTGCCCCACATGTGACTTTGGCCATGTGCACAATAATAATCTTAAACTCAGAGCAAGCCCCATAGGTTGCAACGGTTGAGTTCCTGGCAGCCTGGAGGACATAGAATCCTCCTTAGAACTTCCTCAGCTTTAGACATCCCTCTTTCCTCCCCTGCTGAGACCCCCCCTGTCACTCACGTTATCAGCCGTGATCTGGAGCTCTGTGGGGCCAAGCTTGTCTTCAAATCATCCCCCGTGGCCTCTCGGGCTTGCGACTCCAAGATCTCGTTGAGGCTGTTCTCCGCGGAAGGACAAGAATCGGCTCCTACGCTGGACAAGGTCTTGCTGCTCGGCTTGAAAGGGTCACCCACGTCCAAATGATACGACCGTTTTGTGAGTGTGGGAGAATCCTGCAAAGAGGAGCTGCCCACAAAGGGGTTAAAGGCGGGATCATCCCACTGGTTGGTGTCCAGTGCGTGGGTAACCTTGGATAGAGGTGCCACCGATGCCTCAGGAGCTATCATCTTCTCTCCATCCTCGGGACCTACAACAGGCCGGGTGGTCGGTCCTCTTTGTCTCTTAGGAGACAATTTACTGCTAGGCCTCTTTCCCATTTTTCTTGCCGGAAGCTTCTTGGGCTCGGCATTTTCCGCTCCTTCGGCAAAATCGAACTCTAGTTTCACGGCCCGGGTCTTGCAATCTCCAGCTCCCGCCGAGCTGGGATGCTTGGGGTCACTATTGGGAAGATCAGCACCTGGTTGAGATGCAGGGGGCGAGTTTGAACATTTGGAGCCTCCCATCGTAAATGGGTTCACGGTCTCATTGTATTCCTCCGGATCAAAGCGGTAGGTAGCTTTGGGAATAGGGGGGCTTTCCGTGGCCACTTCAGTCTCAGAGTTCTCTCCCCCCATTTTCTTTTGAAGAGCGATTGGTTTCGCCCTCGGGAGCTTGCTCTTGCTGCTAGCAATGTTCTCAACACTTGGCTTGACTTCTGAAGGTTCTTGAATGGGAATCTCTCGGCTTTCCTTCAAAATGTCCTTTTGCTCCTCTTGGGATAGCGGGCCCGAAGTGTGATCTGGATTGAGCCTCGCTGGAACCGTATTTTCCTCCGTAGCCTCCAATGCAGAAGAAGACACGGATGGACCCTGCTCAATTCCAAGGTGGGCTTTTGATATAAACGGGTCACTGGCTTGCACGATTGCAGGGTCAGTCTGTAATTCATCCTCTGCAGGAGCTGATGTCTCCTCCAACACTTTGGAGACAAATTGGTCTTCCAGAGACGCTGCATGGAGGAGAGAGAAACAGAGAGGTGAATACAGAACATGTTTCCTATAGGAAAAAAAATCAGATTAATAGTATTTATTTATTTGGCATATGATATATAATACATGGATAGCAGCAGTATGGAAAGAACACATCACAATAACTCACACGTAAGATGGAGATGTGTGGTTCACTGTGTAAGGTATAAGAGATTCAAGAATATATTAAGTTAAACATTACTGTTGTGACCTAGGCCCAAGTAGTTATTACCAGACACAATCAGTCCTTAAACAAACATATTTTATTAGAACAGCCGAGAATTACTTCATTCTCAGCTTAGTCCAAATTAATTCCAAAACAAGTCCTTCAGAAAAAGTCCTTTGGCCTTATCACAAACCTTTGTCTTCTTTGGCACCCTGCCAAAGGCTTTTCTTGGCAAAGCCCCACGAAGTTCAGAAACAAGAGATGCTGACAAGAAATAAATGTAGCAATGTTGCTTTCCTACAAAGAGCCCAAGAGCCTTTGCTGCTCTTTTAAGCTTTATGGGAGGGGCCAATCATCTCCTGGCCTTACTCCCGAGTCGTCCTTTTTGCTTTAGCTGCTCTTGCCTTCTGGCAGCTCTGTGCATGCGTGCACTAGGAACAGGCTCCTCCTGTTCCTCTACCTCTCTGCTATCCGCCTCTGGAGACTCCGGAGTCCGTGCATCACTCCCAAATGGCCCTGGTCCCATCTCTCTGCCTCCGACGCAGAGCCCTTGTCTGGACCTTCCCCTGACTCCAGGACTGGCCCATTGTCCTCCCCAGCCTCCTCACTGTCCGACTCCGCTACCAGCTCCGCAGGCTGCTGGCGGACCACAACAATTACATTTTAAAATACGTTGGTTCATAAGAAAGAAATAAGTGTTCTGTATATTAATATCTAGACCCAAAAGTACTTTTTTCAAAGGGAAACTGGACTTTGTTTTTCCTTAAAGACGTTACACTTCTCATCCAAGAAGCATCTTCAATTTTAAAGAAGCTTCTTCATCCAAGAACTGAAGAAGCTTCTTGGATGAGAAGCGAAACATCTTCAAGGAAAAACGAAGTCCAGTTGCCTTTTGAAAAAGCACCTTTGGGACAACCATGACCTGGATGACAGAAAATCTCCATAGACATTTAATATCTAGGACATTTATCTAATTAAGCATAGTATTTGATAGCTGGAGAAAATTTGCATTTCCTCCTATATCAATTCTCACATAGCAGCTAGCCACTATATATGATCCAATGTCTGACGAGGAGCACAGCAGTCACATTCAGGGGAAGATCCTCTGCCCCATTTAAACAGGATTTCTTGGCAGATGCCACTTAAGGTGCCAATCCTATTCAAAGTTTTTCAACCCTGGCAGGTAACATTGAAACCCACTAATTTTCATATCAGGTCAGTTATGCTTTTTCCAGAGTCTGGACTCTGACACAGAATCCCTTTTCATCCAACTCTGAATTGGAGATGCAGCAATCCGTAATTTTGTTGTCACGCTTTAAAATATAGAGAAAATTTGTGTAGAAAAGATTACCGTATTTTTCGGAGTATAAGACGCACCTACCTTTTTTGGTGAGGAAAAGAAGAAAAAGAAATCTCCCTCTGCCTCTGAGCAATTTTGCCTTGTTGCAGCAAACAGCAAACAGCCTGCTTTACTTTCAGTTTTGTTTTCAGCATAGCTTGATTAGCACAAGGGAAAAAAAAATCTGCTCCAGCAATTTACCTCTTTGCAGCAAGCAGCAGAGGCCTGCGCAAAACAGCTGAGAGCAAATCAGCTGAGAGTCGGGAGGCCGATCCAATTAACTCGTGATAATTAGGCTGTGCTGAAGCTGAAAGGGGCTGTTTTTTCTTGCTGTTTGCTTGCAAGGAGGTAACTGCTGCGAGGCAGAGGCCAAAGGGTGAGGGCCAGTGGGTAGGCAGGGCTACATTTGATGTATAAGACGCACCTAAATTTCCACCCCCTTTTTATGGGGGAAAAAGGTGCGTTTTATACTCCAAAAAATACGGTATATAAATCCATCTACTAAGAAAATTAGCAAGCCAGAGAGAAAGATACCAGCCCTATCTGCTTCTTGATTCTGCAGATTTTCTATGTCCCTCAAGAGATGGAATAATTAAAAAAAAAAAAAGGAATGGAAAATTGGGTTTATATACTTAAGTAAATTGTAGTATTGTATTATTTGGTTAATCTGATAAAAAAAGAAATGGAGAAGAGGGAAGGAAATGAATTATATATGTAAGTGTATGAAAATTAAGATTCATAATTGGAATAATGGAATCTAGGGAAAATATGTGGAAACTGATAAAAAAAGAAATGGAAAAAAGGGATAATTGTAAAACTGCTGAATACTAAATATGATTGGAATGATGGAATATATTCCATCATTAAAATATCTGAAATTATATTGTATTGTGAAAAGGGAGTAATGGGAGAATATTTGAATAAGATAATTTAGAGTTAGCTTTAGATTTTAGAAAAATGATTGATTTCAATTTAAAGGGTTTCAATTTGAAAAAAGTAAAGAGAGGAGTGGAAAAAGAAAAAAATGATTAAGATTACAGATTAGGGCGAATGATAATATTGTTTATATATTTGAAGAAATAGAAGGAAAATAAAATAAAAAATTAGAGAGAAAGAATTCTATGGAGAGAAGTGAAATATATAAAATGGTGTTTGAGAAACGAAAAGCGGTACAAACTGTGACTCGGCCAATACTCTGTTCAGAAATAATGCATTGTTTGTTTGTTTGTATGTGTGTTTGAAAAAAATAAAAAACTTTCATTAAAAAAAAGAGATGGTTATTATTATGAAGAATTATTAGTCTTTTATAAGAGAGGCATTAAATCGTGGAAGTCAAAGTAGTATAGTTTGTATAGATAGAAAGATGCCATCATAGAAAGTGCGTTTTTCTAACCTACAATAATCTCTTTATATCCACACCTTTCTACTCTTTTACCTCATCCTGAAGATCGCACTTAGCTCCCGAATGGCATGTTGAGAACTTATTTCTTCCTTGTTGATTGTTGGCTGAGATCTCACAGGCGTGGAAAAATAAAACCGCCCTGCCTTACAATTCTCAGAGAGGATGGAAACAGAATTTAGAGCAAAAATCTAGAATGATCTGTGAGACAGAACAATAGTCTCGTAACCAACTGCCAAGCTCTTGCAGTGCCTCATATCCAAGTTAGTGACATCCCCAAAGATTCAAAGTTTACTGCAATGACAAAAGGGTTAGAGCAGTGATGGCTAACCTTTTTGCCGTCGTGTGCCAAAAGTGGGGGGGAGTGGGGGTGGTCGCGCCCACGCATACCCACACCCATAATTCAGTGCGCCCCTCCCTGCGCATGTATGCGTGACACCCCTGCGCTCCCCCCGCTTTTGGCACGCGATGGTATGGTGGGCCTAGTAGGCCCGTTTTTCGCCATCCCCAGGCTCCAGAGGCTTTCTTGGAACCTGGGGAGGGCGAAAACAGCCTTCCCCATTCCCCGGGAGGCCTTCCGGAGGCCGGGAACGGCCCGTTTGCCAACTTCCAGTGGGACTGGAAGGCCCATTCTTTGTTCTCCCCAGGCTCCAGAGCCTTTCTAGGAGCCTGAGGAGAGCGAAAACGGCCTTCTCCACACACACACACCCCGGAGGCCAGAAAAAGCCTGTTTCCTGACTTCCGGTAGGCCCAGAAGGCCCCAAAATCAGCTGAGCTAGGGCAACACTCGCGTGCCCACCGATATGGCTCCACGTGTCACCCGTGGCATGCGTGCCATAGGTTTGCCATCACGGGGTTAGAGTATACAGTTTTAGAAACAAGGGTACCATATGGATACAGATGTTCCTTTGATTTATGGTCCCAACAACTGGGACCATAATTTCCATTGCTAAGCAAAGTGGTTGTTCAGTGAGTTGCATCTGATTTTACGACCCTTTTGGCCATGGTTGTTAAGCGAATCATTTACGATTGCTAAATAATCATTGCAGTCATTAAGCGAATGCAGCTTCCCCCATTAACCTTGCTTGTCGGAAGCCAGTTTAGGAAGGTTACGAACGGTGATCATGCATGATCCTGGGATCCTGCAACACTCATAAATACATGGTGGCTCCTGACTACCCAAATTTTGATCCCGTGACCATGGGAATTGTGCAAAGGTCATAAGTTCAAGGATTAGTCATAAGTCACTTTTTCCAGTGCCACTGTAACCTCGAACAGATGCTAAGCAAATGGTTATAAGTCAAGGACTATCTGTACTTTGGCCCTCATTTGTTGTTGTTAGTTGCAAAGTCGTGTCCGACCCATCGCAACCCCATGGACAACGTTCCTCTAGGCCTTCCTGTCCTCTACCATCCCCTGGAGTCCATTTAAGCTCATGCTTACTGCTTCGGTGACTCCATCCAGCCACCTCGTTCTCTGACGTCCCCTTCTTCTCCTTTTGCCCTCAATCGTTCCCAGCATTTGGCTCTTCTTCAGGGAGTCCTTCCTCCTCATTAGGTGGCCAAAGTATTTGAGTTTCATCTTCAGGATCTGGCCTTCTAAAGAGCAGTCAGGGTTGATCTCTTCTAGGACTGACAGGTTTGATCGCCTTGCAGTCCAAGGGACTCGCAGGAGTCTTCTCCAGCACCAAAGTTCAAAGGCCTCAATTCTTTGGCGCTCAGCCTTTCTTAGGGTCCAACTTTCACAGCCGTACATTGCAACTGGGAAAACCATAGCCTTGACTATATGCACTTTTGTTGGCAGGGTGATGTCTCTGCTTTTTAGAATGCTATCTAGATTTGCCATAGCTTTCCTCCCCAGGAGCAAGCGTCTTTTAATTTCTTGGCTGCAGTCCCCATCTGCGGTGATCTTGGAGCCCAGGAAAATAAAATCTGTCACTACCTCCATTTCTTCCCCATCCCCATCTATTGGCCCTCATTTAGCAATGTGTAAGGTGGGGTTTTCCTACTGACTTTGATTTTTTTTTTAATTGATCCATAGTTTATTGGAGAAGATGCAAATCACACTTATTTGTTAC